GTGGTCTAAGTAGAAGCAGAGAAGAGGAAAAAATACTTCTGTTACTGTATCTATTTCTGTTACTGTGTCTAACCTTAGTAAATATACTTTTATATTTTTCCTGGGTTTTTTTTGTTGCTTATCTGATAAAGGGTATTTTGATGTACATGCAAATGTCAGATGATTACATTTTCATGGCTGTGGCATCACATAAATGTAGGATACTGAATTATTCTTTCAGTACATACTGCCCCAGTATTCACAAATGTGGCAGTACTTAGAGCAAGTGCTGAGGGTCTGAGAAAAGTGAAGCCACAAGGGCCAGTTTGGAAAATGGTGTTGCAAACTGTTAATGTGCAGAAAGTATCTCCTAGAAACCACATTAGCATTGACGTGTAACAGGACACTGGAAAAAGTGGCTGAACCCTAAAGGATAAAAGATGTAGCATTGTTGCCTGGCATTGAAGTTTTCATAGTGATTTTTGTATGCTGTTTCTCAAAAGTCGCAATTCTGTCTGTGCTGTAATGGAAACATCCTAGATATCTGTGGTTTTTAATTAAGACGGAAATCGACTGAACTTGAATATCTCAGGAAACTTTGGAGATTGCATGGTATGGAATACCCCTTTGGCTAGTTTTGGTCAGGTGTCCTGTCTCTGCTCCCCCTTGGCTTCTTGTGCCCCTCCTCATTGGCAGAGCATGAGAGACTGAAAAGTCCTTGATCAGGGTAAGTGCTACTCAGCAACAACTAAAACATCTGTGTGCTATCAGCATTGTTCTTAGACTAAAGCCAAAACACAGCACTGCACCAGCAACTAGGAAGAACATTAACTCTATCCCAGTGAAAACCAGGACAGCTCCCTAGTATAAGAGAGACATGGATTTCCTGGAGCAAGTCCAGTGAAGGGCTATTAGAATGAATAAGGGTCTGAAGCATCTCTCAAATGAGGAGAGGCTGATGGAGCTGGGCCTGTTCAGCCTAGAGAAGAGAAGGCTCAGAGGGAATCAGATAAACATATATATACATATCTGAAGAGAGGGTGTCAAGAGGATGGGGCCAGAGTCATCTTGGTGGTGCCAGGCAAAAGGGCAGGAGGCAATGGGCATAAACTAAACTGCCAGCAGTTACACCTGAACTTGAGGAAGAGCTTCTTTACCGTGAGGGTGTCCAAGCACTGGAGTAGGTTTCTCAGAGAGATTGTGGAGTCTCCTTCACTGGAGATATTCAAGAGCCATCTGGACACAAGCCTGGGCATGTGCTTCAGGTGACCCTGCCTGGGCAGGGAGGTTGGACTAGTTGACCTCCAGTAGTCCCTTCCAGCCTAAATCATTCTGTGAAACCAGAAAGTAATCCCATTTGACTCCCAGTTGAGAGACTGTGGTTTGGTGTCTGTGGCCTGCAGCCTTTCTTTATAACTTGTTTTCATACAGCTGCGTCTGTCTAGACAGGTGTATAAAGTTTTCAGACTCATATGGCTCAATAAAGATACAGATGCTCACCTTTTGTCTGATACAGAGAGGTTTGCCTGGCTAACATGATTCTGGAAGCAGTGTCTTTGCATTTGTCAGACAGGAACATCATCCCATTTCTCTTTTTGGAATTTTTAGTATGGTATTACAGGATAGATTCATACCTGAGCTTTCTCTCACAGTGCATAGTGGATTGTTCTCACTAGTAAGGCATGCAGCTTCTCATTGAGAAGGAAAGTGCATATGGGTATCAGAAGAACTTGTTTGAACCTTTACTAGCAAAACAGCCAATATTTTCTATGTAGTGGGTGGGGTTTTTTTGTGGTTTTTTGTTTGGTTTTTTTTTTTATTCAGCTATATTATTCCCAAATAAAACTTCAGACTCAGCTTTGAAGCCACGTGCAACTGCTGTGGCTGATGTGTACTTGCATAAACAGTGATTCCAAGAGCAACCTGGTCTAGTGGAAGGTGTCCCTGTCCATGGCAGAGAATTTGGAATGAGATATCTTTAAAGTCTCTTCTAACCTAAACCATTCTATGGTTCTGTGATCATGGCGGCTTGAGGAGATAGACTCTAAAGATTTATACCAAGAATTGACACCTATATGCTGTTTGTGTCGTGGTTTAAACCCAGCTGGCAATCCAGAACCACGTAGCCGCTCGCTCACTCCCCCCCCTTCCTCCCGCTGCTCCTGGAGGAATGGGGAGGAGAATCGAAAGAATGTAACTCTCAAGGGTTGAGATAAGAACAGTCCAGTAACTAAGGTATAACACAAACCACTACTGCTACCACTGTTAATAATGATAAGGGAGATAAGGGAAAAGAATACAACCGCTCACCACCTGCCAACTGATACCCAGCCTCACCCCGGCAGTGATCTAGCCTTTCCGGGTAACTGTTCCCAGTTTTTTTTACTGGGCATGACGTGCTGTGGTATGGAATACCTCTTTGGCTACTTTGGGTCAGGTGTCCTCTCTCTGCTTTCTTCCAGCTTCCCCTCCTCCCTGGCAGAGCATGAGATTCAGAAAGTCCTTGGTCAGAGTAAACATTACTGAGCAACAACTAAAAACATCGGTGTTATCAGCGCTGTTCGCAGGCTGAAAGTCAAAACCACAGCACTGCACCAGCTACTAATAAGGAGAAAAATGGCTGCTACTGCTGAACCCAGGACAGTTTGGGAGAATTTAATTGCCCCAGTTTTTTGTTCTTGCAGATGCCCTCACTCAAGCTGTTATTTAGCCTTAATTTTTCTTCTTGGGACTGAAGAAATCTAACATTTCTAGGGGGCTCCATTTGAAAACAGAAGTTAACCATTTTGATAGTGCCTTGCATCTCTGGTTTCAGCTGAAGAGAGGCTAAGATGAAGGCATAGTTCTACTTTGGACTGGTGTTCAGGAAATAAAATAAGACTTAGAAGCCAAATGCAGTACTGAGCTTGTGTATTAGTTATTGTGCCTAAAAACTTTACTTGCGGAATCACTTTGTTTTTCCATTTCAGTTTTTGCTAGGAGAGTAGACACTTGAAGAAGCCAATCAAAGACAGAAAAGCATTTTTACTCTTGAGGGTGTGCAGTAAAATATTCTCAGTGAAGTTTCTATTTCTTCATTTTGTTTTTTAAAAATTACATTTCCCACTTTTAATATTGTGATAGGTACCTTCCTCACTATTTCCTTTATTCTTCTCCTCAAACTTAGAATTATTTTACCGCTGACTTTTATAATGTTATTAAAAAAGAAATGAGATCCACATCACTTACATTTATTGTTCACTGACCACTTTTACTAGGCTGGCAACATTCTTGTATAAAACCATCCATTGACAAATGTCAATCTGTTGGAGGATAACTAATGAGTTCTTCCAGACTGAAGCAGGAGGAAGTTTGCAAATTTTTTCATTAAGGGCAAAAGGTAGTAGGAGAGCCTAAATCAAGCAATTTTGAGAATAATCTTAGCAGTATCAATGTACAGTGAGAGTGTTTGTGCAAGATTTGTGATTTTTTTTTTTTTTTAAATTAAGTATATTAAACAGATTAAACTCCTGGGAAGAGGCAAGGTTTAAGCTTTTTGTCAGACCTTACTGTGAAGTAAGCTTGGTAAGCTCTGTGCTGTTGCCACTTTTCTCTTTACTAGGCCTTCCGTGGACATCAGTTTCAAAAGTCTTTCTTTTTGTGTGTGTGTGTGTGTGTGTGTGATTACACAAAGAAAGTTTCAATTTATTGCCAAGAGCTTTTATTTTAACATCTGTTAATGTTTCTCTTCTTTTAAACATTCAGAATCAAGATGCAATCTTATATGCTACTTTGTTTTACTTTTCCAAAATCAGTAACATTGATTGTATTTATATAACCTGAAGTGTGCTTAGGGTAAATGAGTTTTTAATATTAATTCCTTTTTCTTGATCTTCCTGATATAACTTGAAGCCAAGAGATGTTTTGAGATGAATTTTTCTTTTAAATTCAGCTATCAGTCAAAGTGAAAAGATTTTATTGATTAAAAAGCAGTGTAGTTAAGATTGCATGTGAATTTCCATTATAGCAGATGTGTAGTTACTACTTTACTGGTAAAGGTATTTTTTCTTTATCTGAGCATACATATCTGGTGATTGCTTTTGTGTTTATTGTAACTTGAAAGAAACGTTTTCAGCCTGGATCAGATAAAAAAAAAAAAAAAAGTCTAGTAAAAATGGGCACTGCTTTTTGAACTTTCTGTTGGCTATCAAAATTTCCAAGTAGATTCCTGCCATAGTCATTTGTGTTTTTCTACTTTCCTAAATGTTGTAAGAATGGATAAGAAAGATGCAACAGTTTTAATTCAGAGAATCCCATTTTGCTTAGATAATTCATGCATGTACAGATGTTCTGTTGTGTAATGAGACATAGGAATTGACAGAAGAAATCAGGATATTTGTTAAAAGTGATCATGAACGTCTGGTAATTGCTAGACAAAATCAGAATAGTTACGGGTCAAGGAATGCAACAGTAAAAAAAATACTAGATTAGTACTTTAAAACATTGCGGAGTTCACAGATTTTTGTTGTACGGAAACTACGACTACTTTTGGGCTGCAAAGCAATCTGTCCTGGGCACCTTAGTTGGAATTTAAGTGCCAAAGCCAGCATATTTTTGAGGAATACTCTTACCTTCTCTGACCTTCCTCTGTCTTATATTTTCATGTGTCTTTATGTTGTGTATCTAATTATATTGCCTTAGCTGACAACTTTGGTGAAAAAGAAAATAGTAAGGGAATAGGCGAAATATTTAACTTGGTCTTTCTGCCTTTTGGCTGCAGATGCAATTTTCTTAATTGTAAAAAATGCAGAAATAGCATAAGGCTACATCAGTTTCTTTAAATATAAAATAATAAATATTCTAGATATGTAAAAATTATTTCTGTGCTTATTTGTTGGTATGAGTTTTCACAGTTCCAAAGCACAAGTAGTTCAGCCATGTTATCTTGGTGAACAAAGTCCTAATATACTGAACGAATAGAATAATCTTTATGTCATGTTTACTACCTCTCTGGACTTAAGTTTTTCAAAATGTACTTTTAGGCAGCTACAGTGAGAATAAAGAAACTGGAAAAAAACACTGAAGCAGAGAGAGCAGCACATTTGGAATCCAAATTCAATTCAGAAATCATCCAGGTAAACTTTTTGTTAAATACTTTGTAGGAGTTTACAGTAAAACAGTTGAAGTGGTAAAGATGTAATCTTGAAAAGATGTTAAGACTACCTACTTGCTTTAGTGAAAACACTGAATAGGTTTTTTGCAACAAGTGTTAAAGTTGTAATAGCTAATGTATAAAAGGAAACAACAGAAAAATACCTGCTTTTCAGGGAACATTAAAGTTATTAGAATACAAAGATGTTATTTTATTTTCTTATTTGAAGTCTGAGAATTCCCACTAGCATTTAAACAGTGAGGGGAAAGAAAATGTTTCACAATAATTAAACACTATACTACTGTTTCAATATCTTGCCCTGTATCTTTTGAATGGGCCCTTAGAGCAATTTGGAGATAGAGTGCATAGGTCCAACTTTTCCAGGATTGAGAGCTTGGTGCATTCTGAAACTACAGTTCCAAATGTGATTATTCGGAGTACATTCAACTTCACAGTTATAATACTCTCAGTTGCCAGTAAAGATTGATTATATGAAAAAAGTGTAGCATATATACTTAGGTAAAATGTAATATGAAAATTAAATGTTTGTGTTATTAAGCTGTATCACATTGGGTGTGACCCAGTAAAGCAATTATGGATTACTTTAAAAAGCAAGTGATAAAAAGCTGAATGATGGTTGCTTAGTAACCTCCTACTAACAAACCCTTCACACTGGACTTCTGAAAAACTAAGCAAAAAAATGAAAGTTTGATTTTTTTTTTTTTCTTATTTTCTGAGTAAGTAAAATAAGTATTGCCATTCTTCACTCAGTTGTTTTCTTATTCTCATCATCTTCTCTGTGCACAGGCACTCAGTTTTTCTAAAGTGATGATTAAATTAGTGGATTTAGTTTTCTTAATTTCCTCTCTCTACTTTTACAACATACAAAGGAACTGGAGGGTAACATTCCTTACAGTAAGAGACTTATCTTTTACGAGTGAATGGTAAGCTTTTCTTCCTTGTTTGTATACATGAACGAGCTTCAAGTGTGTTTTGTGCTGAGTGGAAATACAGCCTTTACTGTTAATTCCATGCTTCCATGAGTCTACTTAAAAAAAAAAAAAAAAAAAAATCCTCTGGAAAATTTAGTAATAGCTGAAAAACGAAAAATCCAGACACCACCAAAGGAAAACAAAAGTTGCTTCTGGTCAGTGTATCTATTTGTTTTAATTTTGAACTGTATGTATTCATGCATTTTTACATGTGTTCGATGCTTTCTGTATATATACTTCCATATAGAATTACTATAATATAGTTTACCAGTAAAGCAAAAGACAGCATAGAACAGCATTGAAGATCATGATAGTTTTTCCTAACTTGCTTTAATTGCTTTCTTATCACTTGGTAGTTAAGAATTCGAGACCTTGAAGGAGCTTTGCAGGTGGAAAAAGCCAGCCAAGCAGAAGCTCTTTCAGATTTAGAAATGATCAAGAAAGAGTTTAAAGAGGTAGAAAATGCATATGAGAGAGAAAAATGCAATGCCCAAGAGAACCTGGAAAAACTCAATGTGTAAGTTAACTTTTAAATTCATTGTAAAGTGGCAATAGTCAGCTTCAGTACCACTTCTAGTTTACGTTCTTTCTAGTTTTCACTCACTAGAAAACAGTCTGATGCAATTTGCCAAACTCAGCCAAAGTTCCGAACCTGGCATTCCATTAATAAGTTCATATCAGTAACCATACATATTATGAGTAGGTAGAGAAAATAACTGATCTGTTGTAGATTATTTGCCAAAGCACAGATGTTGAAAATAATAGGTATGATAGGGTCCTGTTTCCAGTAGTGTTTGAGAGGAGTGTAGCAAAACATACGTGTCAGGTTTATAACAACTTTTTGTTTTCTGTATACACTTATTATGAAAACAATACTTTTTTTACTTCAGTGAGCTAGATAAATCTTGAAGATTTCTGTTTTGAAGTTGTGTATAATTTATAGTGGATAGTCTTCATTTTCAGCTTTTGAATAATTGTGGAAAGTTTTAACTTTGTAAGAAGGAATAGAAAAAGGGGTGAAGTATGTGAGAACAGGCACAATTACTTGGGATTCTGATTCCCTTCGTGCTCAGCGCATTCTTTTGTGTCTGTGGTAACAGATGGCTTTTGGAAGAACAGCTTTATTATATTCCCCAGACGGATAGAGGATGTACAGTACTAAGTTTTCTTCCCTGGGTGAATCAAGTAGATAATTGGACTGAGAAGATGTCAGGAAGAAGAATCGTGTTAGAAGACAGAACCAAGGAGTAGGTGAAATAAAGGAAAGTGGTAGGTGAAGTTTAGAGAAAGAGGAAGTTTAAGAGGACTTAAAGCAGGTGGCACACAGTGGGGGTATTGGCAGAGACTAGAGCTAGTAGAATGGATTGGAAAAAGACAGAGGTGTCATCTCTTTTGATCTAGGATGATATGGGTCTGTGCATATAAGTATTTATATTGACTTATTCAAGCAAGCAGTAGTGGAGGGCAAAAGAAGCTAGTTTTCCTCCAAGTAAGGAGGTTTTTGTGCCTGGGCCTGAGAGAGTCTTTCTATATGCGTGGTTACAGAGATGCTTTTAGTAAAATAGTTGAAACCTGTGCTGTATTATAAACACAGCAGAACTGCCCAGTTTTTTATCTTTATAGGTCTTTTGAAAATTAATGTGAATCTGAACACACGGGTTGTTCATTTTAACTTTCGTAACAATTGTTCTCTTGGGAACTCCTCTTTTAGCAAATTTTTATTTTCATGTTGCTACAAGATGTTTTATCTTGGATATCTGTGCTCAGTAGCAATTTTCAGTAGAAGATCCTCTGGGAAGATTCCTTTTGGCCCCTCATGAAATTCATAAAATGTATGGGTTCCTCACCTGCATTTTTTTATAATGATTTTGATTGGTTGATTTTATCACACTAGACCCAGATTGTATGCATGTACACTTAGGTTTTCTTAACAGAGTTGGTCAGAGCATTTAATTCTGTGAATTATAATAGTTTCTCAGATGAGCAAAGACCTGTTACCTCAAGAAGTAGTCTTAAGTAGAGTACTGCATGCACATGGAATAATGCTGCCCAATTGTGAACTGTGTGGAGCTATACTGTCTCTTAGGTATTGAACAGTGTTTCAGTAACACTGTATTTTTTCTAAGCATTTAGCTGAGTGTAATTTGCAATTTTGAGGTTAGCAACAGACATGAGTCTTTTAAAGCCTGAATTATTCTGTTATTAGCATGAATATGTTCTGAGAATCAAGGGATGATGATAGATATAAAATGTAAGCTAATTAGAAGCATTCTTAATGGTAGCTTAAGCATCTGTTTAGGAATTTTCCAAACCATTAGAACTTTACAAGTTTTACCACAAGATCTGCCTTTCAAATTTGAAGTTAGTAGTATTAGTTAAAAATTGTGAAAATCCGCAAGAGATAATTTTCCAACAAGTCTTTGAGTTAAGGATACATTTTGGTATTAGACTATTAAAAGAATAAAAAAAAAAAATTGGTTTTTTAGAGACTGTTTTTTTTTTTTCTTCTATAGAAATAACCAGACCAGGCAATACAGTTCTTATGGTTGTGGTACCAGTTGCATTAGGAGTTTCAATGTTGGTACTTACAGAGAAGTAATACTTCTCTTGTGTTGCTAAAATACAACAAGAACCTGAAACAGCCTTTCCCTTTTTCTTTAAACTGGTTAATTCTGTTCAACACTTCTTTCTCAGGAAAGATTCGCCCTGGTTTGTGTCAGTTTATTTTTTGTTGTTGGTTGGTTGGTTTTGGTTTTTTGTTTGTTTTGTTTTTTTTTCCTGCTTGTTTGTTTTTTCATTTTGTTTTATTTTTTTCCTGGTATGAATGAGAAATTTTGGTTACTTAAAGCATCTGTTCTCTGTGTTAATTGGACATCAGAATAAACTTTGTCTAATATCCAGAATAGTACTTTTCACTACTTGTAATCATCTGTTGATTCAGGCAATGACTCCTAGCAGCTTCTGCCAACTGAGTTTTTGAAAGCAAATTATCTTCTGTGCTTTTAGAGAATGCAAATACTTCCATGAAAGTTGATGCAGTTAAACAGTTGGTGGTTTTGTTAATAGGGCTTGAAGAAACAGAAACAGCCTGTCCTTATAATTTTGTTAGTCCAGACACCTGAATTTCCAGATTCCCATCTATAAAGATGGGTAGTGAAGGTCAAGCTTTGTCTCAGATGGACATCTGTATACTCAGTTCCCGTGAGGTAATTATGTGTGGTGGGCATGTAATACCTTGTCGGTTCTTGTGCCCTTTTTAGTCTTTGAAGCTTACAAGTATTAGTAACATTGGTGAATATCAGTGATTGCGTTCACTAGATCCCTCAAGAGAGAATACAAGAGCCTTTGATCTACTTACCTTTGAAGGCTGTGATCCCTGGACTCCAGACAATGTCAGGAGCCTGGCTTTTTCTTTTAAGCTGTGATTTGACATCCTACCATAATTTCTCTTTCTCTGGAGGAGTCCTCTGGATTTTGTCCTAAGGCTTTAGTCTTTGGAAAGTCTTGGAGGGTTTCATTTGTTGTGTTAGAACGCTTGTATATCTTTATAGCTGGACTTGAGTGGGATGAATGATACCAAAATTGGAAACTGTACAAAGCTGTGACAATTTCTTTTCTCAGAAAAAGATGGTTGTAATAACTAAAACCAAGCAAGCAGGCTTTTCTGGGTTGCATAATTTATTAATAAGCTCTGAACCCAGTAGCTCTATGTAAATTCGAAGCAACATGGGATTTGGGTCTCCATGTGAATTTACTTTTCTTGAAGATTGAGATCGTGATATAGAATAAATTGGAACTGCTTTTTGCGTGTTTCTGAAAGCTGTGGGAGTAGAAGCTACTTTGGGGGACTGAAAATAGCAAGTTCTTTTTCTTAAGAATAAGAAGTAACCATCTACAACTAAAAGAAAAGAAAAACAGCCAGGCTGAAGCAGAAGCGCATAGATATATCGAGGACTGTTGAAGTAGTTGTTCAGCTAAAAAGACATGTGGATCTATGAGAAATAAGTCAAAGTCAGGAAGTGACAATATTGATTCAGAAGTTGGAAGAACTTGGAACTGTTCGCAGTACTTTCAGTTAGTGAGACAGAAGTGATAGAAGAGACAAGGAAAGGAGAGAAACCTAGATGTTCCCATTGCTAGGAGTTGCATCAAAGGATAATTCAGGGATTGAAGAGTATCTGTAGTCCAACCTCCTGTTCAAACCAGGATCAGGTATGAGATCAGGTTGCTCAGTGTTTTGTCCAGATAGGTCTTGAAAACCTACAAGAATGGAGATGACAGAACCTCTTTGGGAACCTGTTCCACTGTTGTTAAGGTAGAAAAAGTTTCTCCTTGTCTGAACCTCTTTGGATTCAATTTGTGACTGTTGTGTCTTGCTCTCTAGCCACACATTGCTGTGAAGTGACAGGCTACATCTTCTTGATAACTTCTTTGTAGATACTGGGGGAGGCTGTTATGCATCCTGAAGTTCTCTCTCCTCCAGCTTGAATATCCCATGTGAGTGACCCTCCCCTTAGCTCACTCCAACTTTTCCCATGTTACGTGTGGTCGTTGTCCTAGAGGTGTTGTAATAAGTGCCAAATAAATAATTAATCACTTCTTCTGACCATGCTACTACTAATGCAGTCCAGGATGGTGTTTGCTGTCTCTGCTTGTATGCCATGCTGTTCTGGCTATCTTGCTGTCTACCAAGATTACCAGGTCCTTATTGAGCGTAGCTGCTTCTCAGCCAGTTACCAGCCGTACCACTCTTGCTTCCTGAAATTCATATCTTTGCACGTATCACTGTTGAATCTCAAAAGATTAATGCTGGCCTGTTCCTCCTCTCTGGCTAGGTTCTAGGGAATGACAGCCCTTCTCTTAAGTGTATAAATTGTATTGTGTAGTCACCCACCTCCACCGAGTTCAGTGTTACCTTCAAACGTGGTAAAATTGCACTCTTGGCCTAATCCAGGTGATGGATAAAGGTGTTAAACAGATTCTAATCCAGAGTCCTACAGTATTCCACTTATCATCAACAACTACTGTCAGAGGTTTACCATCAAACCATTTTTATTGAAGTTGCAATTCACCTAGCTAGACTGAAGTCCTAACTTGGATATAAAAATACTGTGTGAGACAGTGCCAAAAGCCTCGCTAAAGCTGAGTTATATTTAATCAACTTGCTGTCCTTTTGTTCACAGATCTCTTTTTATCATAGAATATAACTGGGTTCCTAAAATCATAGAATAGTTAGGGTTGGAAGTGACCTTAAAGATCATCTAGTTCCAGCCCTCTGCCATGGGCAGGGACACCTTCCACTAGACCAGGTTTCCCAAAGCACCGTCCAACCTGGCCTTGAACATCCCTCAGGGATGGGGCAGCTGCACCTTCTCTGGGCAACCTGTTCGAGTATCCCTCCTCTGTCATGGTAAAGAATTTCTTCTTAATGTCTAATCTAAATCTACCCTCTTTCAGTATAAAACCATTCTCCCTTGTCTTATCCCTTCATGTCCTTGTAAAAAGTCCCTCTCCTCTGAACAGATTTCTTGCAGGCCCCTTTTAGGTACTGGAAGTCTGCTGTAAGCTCTCTCCAGAACCCTCTTTTCTGCAGGCTGAACAATGCCAGCTCTCTCAGCCTCTCTTCTTAGGAGAGGTGCTCCAGCCCTCTGATCGTCTTCATAGCCGATCTCTTCTGGACTCATTGAGCAGGTCTATGACCCTCTTGTGCTGGGGGCCTCAGAGCTGATTGCAGCACTGCAGGTGGGATCTCATGAGAGCAGAGGGGCAGGATCACCTCCTTCAAGCTGCTGGTCATGCTTCTTTTGATACAGCCCAGGACATGGTTGGCTTTCTGGGCTGCAAGTGCACACTGCTGGCTCATGCTGAGCTTCTCATCAACCAACACCCCAAGTCCTTCTCAGGGCTGCTCTCAATCCATTCTCCATCCAGCCTGTATTTGTGCTTGTCACCTGACCTAGGTGCAGGACGTTGCACTTGGCCTTGTGATTGGGTTGGCCAGACATGATTTAGCCTTGGTAAATCCTCAATGAATGATCCCAGTCACCTTTCTTTCATGAGCCCAGAAATTTGTTCCAGAAGGGCTTACTTCATGATCTTTCTGGGACTGAAATGAAGCTCTCTGGTCTATAGTTTCTTGGCTTGCCCTTTTGCCCTTTTTTGAATATGGTTGCAACATTCATGTTCTCCATTTCTAGGTGCCTCCTCCAGTCTCTGTGACCTTTCAAAGATGATGAGCTGCCGCACTGTGACATTGGCCAGCTTTGTCAGAACCTTTGAGTGTAGGCAAGCTGGCCTCTTCAATTTTCATGGTTTGAGTTCTTACAAGTAAGCCCTGACTCAATCCTTGGTGGTAGCAATTCTCTTCTTTGAACACTTCTACTGATCATAGGGGCTTAGAAGACCTTGTCAGGCAAAAAAGGTGGAGTGTGGTGACCTCTGTGCTTTCTTCTATAGTCTGCATGCAGTTACCCAGTCTGTGTAGAAGCAGGTCCATGTTTTCTTTCCTACCTTAATGTATTTTTAAAATCTTTTTGTCATCATTTGCAAACATCAATTCTTGGTGAGCTTTTGGGTTTCCTGACACCATGGCTACATATTCAGGCAATCTTTCTAAAGTCTTCCTTCGATCCCTGTCCCAGCTTCTGTCTTCTATATGCTGTTGTTTGGCCTTGTAGCTTTCTCATGAATTGCCTGTTTAACCATGCCAGGCTGTTTAGGTATCTGTTCTGAGAACCAGGAGCACTAAGTGCAAGAAATGTTTGAAATTTTGGAGACAGTCTGCTGGAGGAAAAATTTGAAGCTACGCCATTCTACTCTATAGAGTAGAATATAGTCAGATATATGGAAAGTTTAGGAGCAACCTTTGTACTTTAAATAAGGGTTGATTATGCAAGACATGGTATAGTCTTTCTGAAGAGAGTTACTGTGTTAATTAAAATATGAGGAATTCAGCTTATTATATGTGCTTTAGAGCGTGTATCCAAATGACCATATGAATTTGACTGAAAGCTAATTACAGGCATTGGTAACAGAGGAGAACCTAACCACCTCTTGAAAAGTATTTCTTAGAAGAATGTGTAACTTCAGTTTAAAAAAAAAAAACAAAAAGAGGGACTTCAGAAGCAACATGATGTGCTAACATATGCATTGATTATGTTGAAAACTATGTAGTATAATTAACAAAAGTATTTTTGATAACTATTCTAATGCTGAAACTTTCCAGATTAGAAAGAGAGTGTATCTCCACAAACAAGCACATGAATGAGAAGATTGAAGAGAAGAAGAAGATAATTCAAGAGCTCTCTGAGATACTAGGGAATAATGAAGAAAACTACAGAGAATTGCAGGAGGAACTTGCAATGGTAAGACAAAAGGCACTCATTGTTTAGGTTTTTTTAAACATACTGTGAAGATAATCTGCATTTGTTGTCCTGAGCTGTGGAAGAGCTCTGCCATTGTGTTACTCTAATTTTACTGACTTCATTTTGTAGAACAGGAGTAAATACAGACCTAATTTAAAAATATATTTGAAGTGATATACCATGTATTTAACTGAATAGTTATTTGCAGAAAACTTATTTGAGAATATGGTTATGAGTAAAGATAACTTCTGTTTGCATTCCTAGCAAAGAAGGCACTTTGTAGGTATGGATTATGATTCCTTGTGGAGAATGTTCTAGCTTTCTACCCAAGTTTTTTTCTTTTCTAGACTTTTATTAGCTACTGTTGTAGGTTGAATTATTTCTGTTTTACATAACATTTTGGTTTAAGTGCAAGCATTTGACTGTAAAAAATGCTTGAGAATTGCTTATTTGAAAGTGACAAAGCAGGAGGATTTTATTTTTATTTTTTTTTAAATGTGGATTTGGCATTGGATGTATTTTACTACCTTATTTTCTGAAATCTCTCTTCTTTTACATGACCATTTGGCACCTTCCCACTGTCTCTACCCACCCCAGCTTTGACTAACAATTTTTCCATCCTGTTGCATAGCAGCAGGGACAAAGCAAAGATCTTAGGCTCTAGGAAACCTTCTCGCCTTCTATTATAGATTTCTATTTGCAGTATTTCTGTACTTAGCCAATGTAAACTTTTCTTGATACTGGCTTGCAGATTTCTCCTCTTTCATTTTGGAGCTGTGAGTATGGAAGGTGAACGTGGTCTTTTCCTGCTGCTGACAGGCATTGAACCAATCAGTTCAATGATTAAGAGCAGAGACCTGCATCAGAGGATCATCAGATGTATTGGTGTCTTATGTTCAGTTGATAGAGTTATTCCATACATTGTCTTAGTGTTACCCATTTCCTGGACAGATTGGTAACTAATAAACTAGAGAAAAATCAAATAAAACCACCCTTTTCCTTCTGTGAGAATCACAGCTTCTTCCGTGCAACTGTTAATGTATTGAAAGGCCTTTGCTCATGTAGTTAACCTGAAAAAGTTATCAGAAACAAAAGGAATATGAAGAGACAAAAGCAACTGTCTCCCCTAACTACAATCAGTAATGATTGCTATTTATTAATACAAAATACAATTCCAAGCAAAAAAAATCTCCTAGGAACCTTGAGCAGTTGCTGACTGTCTCTATGATACGAGTTTTCCTTTTCATTTTGTATTCCTTTGTAAAATTTATGTTATGCCTGATGAGTTCAGAGCAAAATTCTGTTTGTGACCAAGGTTTCTGGTAATGGCAACAATATTAAATGGTGTACTCAAAATGCATGTTACGTTACTGAAAGGTAAAAAGCAGAACAAATTGTCTCTGTTAAAAGAACTGTCTTATTCATAGAGCTGGTTGTTTTAATTGTTTTACTGGAATGATTTCAAACCACAAGACTGTCTTGAACAGGTAATAAAAATACTCATTTTCTGAGGACTTGGATTTGTGGTCCCCTATGGGATTAGATTTTTATCACCTTGGATGGCTTTGTATTTTTCCTGAAGACTTTTGTATTTGTTTGGGAAGCGGGAGTGCCTGTGTGTGGTCTTATTTACTCAGTCTGGATAGCTTTTTGTTATTTTTCTTCCCAAAATTAAAAACCAGATGACTATAGCAGAAACTAAGTGTAGATAATATTTTATATACTCTTATTAGCCTTCCCTACACCCATACTAAAATTGTGTGAAAATGTCAGTGTATTCTGTTCCCTTACATCCCCCTCCTGCTTTCCTGATCTATTCATCACTTTCTTCTATTTTATACTTGTTAGGCATCCTGAATATGTTCTTTCCACTTCAGTCTGATAATCTTATATTGGTTTCTCACTGTATTGCTATAATGCAAGTTAATGTTTTTCTTTGTAAAATATTTGGGAAATATAACCAGACTAGTGAAGGCTCTTTGTTTTTAGAAAAGCAGACTTACACAGGGACAAAATACATTCTTTGGAAATTTTACATGAAAAAGAACTTTTTTTATTACTCAGTTGAATGTATAGTGAAGTGGTTATGCTGCTTTTAATTTTAAATATCAGCATGTGGCAGAAGTTTGCCAGAAATCTGCGTGGATCAAATACGATAGGATCTATTGGTATCAAACAAAACCGCTTATGAATGTTCAGCATGAGCAGGCTCTCAAGATTTCCATTATGTTTTTCTGAGGAAATTGGTCTCAAGCTTGTCTTTATTTCCAGCTAGGGCTCTTAGAAATTTTTAGCTTGAAGAATAGGTATTTGGAAGAATGGTGATTGTGATTCAGAACTTGTTTTAAATTGAAACAGCCCCAGCTGTATTCCTGTCCTGTGGAAAGAAGAGGTGTCTTCAATAGCTTTAAAAGTTACTCAGGATATTTACATTTCTGACACCTGATGTTCTTTAATGCTTAATATCAGACAAGCAAGAGACATTGAACCTTTATTTTATGGGTAACTTGCCAATTCACCAGAATTCATACAAGGAAATTGAAGTCATTAAAAAGAGTGTATTTTAGCATAAATTTCTTGTAATTCAGAAGAACTCTGTAGTCATTTCCTTCCCTTTGTGTAGACACTATCAGGAATAGCATAATTAGTGTTCAAGTAGTGTAATAGATTGCATCCAGAGTCTTGTCTTTTTCTTTGTGGCATATAAATCTTTCTCTTATACTCACGCACACAGTCATGCACTTGCAGGCATCTCTGCTGCGTGTAATAGCCTTGTAGGTTATCATAAACTGAAAGTCAGAAAAGAAGCATTTAAGAATCTTAATTCCTGGATGTAGGCATTAACTTCTTTAATGTAGGCATTCTGTTTTTTAACAGAAGTTTCTTAAGTATTGACTGAACAGACAATGAAACACCCTGAATATTATGATTTTGTTCTACAAATTCTGTGGGGTAGAATCTGCCTCTCAGTAGCAAAGATGTAAACTCATCTAGATGATTTATTGTCAACAAGCTTTTCAAGTAATAAAACAGGAGATGAAGTTTTCATGAATGTTGCACTAATTATTGTTAAATGTTATGTTACCTTGATTCTTGTTTTGCTTGCATTAACTCAGGGGTGGAGTGTTCCTACCCAGATGTGACTTCTGTTATTTTAATTTAAGAAGGCCAGTTATTCTGAAGCATATGCTTAAATGATCTTCTACAAAGAAACCAGTTTTGTAATTTATTCTGCAAGTGGAGAAGCCACTCAAGCTGTGATGTCCAAGTGTTTGAAGACAGGCATCTAAAAAATGCTTTTAAAGTTGCCAGTTCTGACAAAATTTTCTCTGATAAAAAAAGAAACCCAAACCCCCCAAAACCCAAAGAGATACTTCATCACATTCTTTCTCTGCACAGGTTGTTACGGATTTAGGGGTCTAGAGTGGCTCCATATGAAACTTGAGAATTTTGATTAATTCTATTTCAGGTGTTTAAAACTGAGACACTATGTTTCTTGAGAAATTCTATTTAATTTACACGTGGCTAGACACTTTTAAAAGACCCTCTACAGATTTTGGAAAGCTTTAACTAATATATGAGAACAAAGAAACTCTATGAAGTATTCAATAGCTAGATAACTTTAGCAGAAATAAATGGTAGCCTAAGGAGAGAGATTGTTAGTGAGGGTTTTGTTTTGGATTTTTTTTTTTTAATAGTGCAGTTTATGCTTCCTTGCTTAAAATGTCTGCCACTGTTCTCCTCTACAGAACATCTCTCAAGTAAACCCCATGTTTTGTTAACTGTGGAGCAGTCATTTGGAGCCTGTTTCTGTAAATGCTTTGATTTGATTCTCCCAAGGTCATGTCTGGTAAACATGCCAGTGCTTTTGTAAAAATACTACCCAAATGCTTTTCAAGGCGTATCTGAACATACACTGCTTTTTGGTGGCTACGTGGATAATTCTGGCTTTGGCTCTTGCTCGGCCATCAGTAAAAGGGATTTGTACTGCAGACTAAGTGGGTGAATTAGTCCATGTGTGAGAGAGCTGTATAGGAAAATCCCAGTAACTGTAACCAAATCAAATCCCAGTAACTGTAAACAAAGTAGAGAAAGTTCCTTTTGGAATAATGACAGATTGTTGCAGGACTGGACCCAGTTCCCTGCATGATACTTTTTGGTAAGTTTTGATAAGGTTGTTTTCAAAAGGCCTCAAACTCCTGCCTATGTTTGAGATAGAGATGCACATTTGCAGCATCAGGCCATGTGGTCTATTCTGTAAGTGTGTGTAGAGTTAGTGTTTATTTCACTCAACAGTGGCTTTGGGAAAATTAAAAATCAGTGGGACTTATTTTTTGTCCTGGAGCAGGTGGTGGAGTGTGACCAAAGTCAAATACTGAAGTTAAGGAAGGTATCTCTGCAAGCAAGGTAGTAGGGAATTGTCTAGACTGCAAATACCCTACTTCTGTAAGATTAGATAAAACCTTCACAGTGACCATTGTGAGATATTGAAACAGGTTTCTGGGGGGGGGGGGGGGGAGGGGTTGTTGAAACTCCATCCTTGAGGATACTCAAAACTTGTCTGGACTGGACTGAGCAACCTAAACTGACTTCAAGCATGGCCCTGCTTTGAGTGGGAAGTGGGACCAGATGACCTTCAGGGAACCTGTCAGGCTAAATTATTCCATGATTTTATGGTGCTATGCATTCTTACTAGATATTCCTTATGTCTCAGTGTGAGTGAGGCATAAGAAATTACCTGAATATGTTCATACCCTTTTGGACTCTGAACCTGTGTCTGGATTTCCAGCACTGTAGTATTACAGTATTTTTTCGTCGATTTCTGATAATGGCGACAGTGATTGAAAATGAGAGTTAAGAAGGAAAGATGCTAAATACTTTGCAGCCCAAATGTGGACAGACTGGCTAGTCTAAGAATTTCTTTTTGGTCTTCATTGCTGTTGAAAAAGAGACTAAAATTGGCTTAGAGAGTGTAGATGCAGTTAGCAAATAAAGCACAGAGAGGTCGTGAAGGTTGAATAATCTGTAAAATGCTGAATAAATGATGGTAGCTTAACTAAACCAAACGAAAATATTGGATGAGGAAATTAAAAAAAAAAAAAATCTCAAATCTGACTTTTCCATGGGAAAAGATTTTTCTGGGAAAATTTAATCTGAACTTCTCTGTGCTGGAGTGGTGTATGTAAAAATTTATTTTACTGTGATGCTGATCATATTGTTATGTCTTCTTATTTCTAATATGTGAGGTGTTTGAGATGATATCACTACATGAGAGTAAATTATTTTAATGTTTGCATCCCATAAAATATTTTTACTGGAGTTCAGCAATTGCAAGCTCTCTATATAGATAATTCTATAGAGTAGGAATTAAAAGTTAGTTATTTTTGAATATATAGAAGTGGTTTGGAAATTCTTGATGATGTGTAGTACAAACTCTCACACACAAAAAAGTATGTAAATGCTACAGGGGACCCAACATTGAAATACACATATGAATAATATATTAGTTGATATACAGAACATATAATTAAAATTGAAAGAGTAAAGCAAATTTATAAAATATTTAAGCTGAATAGTGAAGAACACTGCAGAGGATTAAATGCATTTCTTGGTTGTTTTATTTATTTTTTTTTTTTTAGCCTGACATTTATATGCTGCCAGTATGTAGCAGTTTTCCTGGGGAGTATGGGGAGTATGTTTGCCACACTTTGAGAAATTCACTCGGTCCTTACACATGCAGTGAAGCATAACTAAAGCAGTAGTTTATAGAAATGATAGTAAGATTTTTCTCAGTACAAAAGGGTAACCTTCCATCACCAAGTAGAAATGGAAATTACTGCAATAGGTGTTAGAATTTAGAATAAAAATAATTAAAAGCAATGAGACGTAGTTGAGCAAAACCTTTGTCATAAGAAAATCATGAAGTTATTTAAATCTATTTTCCTCTCAATTTGAGGGGGAGAGGGGTTGTTGGGGCGGTTTGTTTTTTTTTTTTGGGGGGGGGGTGTGTTTGTTTTCTAAACTGCTGAGATGTATTACATTTTGTCAGTCAGCTGCTAAAACTGTACATTTCTTTAAGAAGTCAGAACTCCATGTGTCCAAGAAGACCTTGGTCTTGTCTGGAATTACAGACGCATGTCTTTGAAAATTGCAGGATTTAATATCAGATACAAATTGAAGGAATGATTTTACGTAGTCTTTCTATTGTAGTGATTTAAAAATCTGCTGTAATACCTTTCTGCCCTCAGAATAAAGCCAGTGTCTTGATTTGAACAACAGGCTGCACGTAGTAGGCAATTTTCTTTAAGAAAATTCAGTGATAGGAGCTGAAGGAGTCTGATGCTTTATATTTCATGCATAAGGAGAAGGTTTTGATACTGAAGAAATCGCTATAAAATATGGAAGATACTAAGAATTAAAGTAGGCATGTTTGCAATGCGAATAGGTGTGGGATTTGACTGAGTGCCAGATCATGGATTTCTAGCCTGTCTGCCAGTAGTTTGGTGTCTTTCTGGATGCCCTTGTAGGGTGTAACAATAGATCTCGTTGCATAGATGAGTAGTAGTTAATTAATGTTCATTAAGATATTTTTAAAGCAGAAGGAAGTCAAGGCTAGCTTTTAGTACATCTACTTTTTCTTTTGACTACCTGAAGTCTTTAGTTGTATTTTAAGTGTTTTTAGTGGTTCTATGTTACTTGTTTGTGATGTCATGTTAGGTCTTTTGGCTTAATAAAAGGAGTAATGAGAAATATAGCAGGAATTTAAATTTAAAGGGGAACAAAAATACTGTTGTGATCTGTTTTTCTTCTGTTTACTGTTTTAATGGGTTTCTTTTTTCCCCTTCTTGTCTTGTCTATATCCTTGTCAAATAAAGGCCAAGAAACACCAGGTCTTTCTAACAGAGACGTATGAAAGCAACATGAGAGAGCTGAAGTTACTCCTGGACAGCTTTGCTATGTCAGGCCAGCGGACAGCAGGTTAGTTGAAGGTATAAAATGACAGATGCATCTGTCAGTGTTCCAAAGTCACTACATTGTGGGAATTCTGCAGATGCCTCTTGCATTCCCTCTTCTCAACATGCTTTGATTTGATGACATGATAAGAGCAGTTCTCACAGCAGTCAAATGGCCTTGCTAGCTGAGAAAGGGTGACGGAATGTGGACCTGCTGTTGTCAACCCAGAGCTTGATTTACAAATGCTGGGGTGTATATGATCGGTCAGAAAAGGGCTCACTTGCTGTGCTCTAAATCCAACTGAGAAAAAAGTCCTTACAGTATACCTGCAAAGGGAACAGATGTTTTGCCTGAACTGAGCCAAATTCTGAGGCAACCTTCAGCAACTTAAAGGTCATATATTCAAAAAGGTTGTGTAGGACACATGATGTAATACAATACTTTTTACTGCTGATTGTGGATTAGTACTATATTGCATTCATTGAATCTTACACAGAACAGATATTTCTCTGTTTTCATTAAAATTAATTGCAGGTCAGTGGCCATCACTCTGCTGCCTAGCTTTATATGCAAGTATTGTATCAAACTCAACAAACTGCTGCCTGCTTAAACATTTGAAATAGTGGCTAACATAAACAAGTTGAACTTCACAGCTACTAATTTTTTTTCAAACATGAAAATAGTACACTTCTGGTCTTCATTTAAAACTCTCTGTAAAAGTTTTCTCTGTGGGTACCTTGTATAAAATCACATCCTAGATACAAAATGCTTCTAGCTTAAAGTGGAAGGCAAAATGTTGCTTAAAGAGCAAATTTTTTTTTATTTAAAATGTGATTATATGTTTCTGTACTTTCTTAGCAACAATAGGCATAAATGGGTCGTATAACACTTTTAAATGATGATGCATTTTTTTTGTATCTTCACAGATTTTTTTTTTTTAGGGCCTGGTACAGTCAAAATTGAATAAAGGAACTTCTTGAGGTTTCTGTTGTGCTTAAAAGCCAGCCTTCAATCTGTGATGCATTGATTTTCTCACATGGGTTATATAATCCTTTTATTTGGGAACTGCTATCAGTTTTATTCTGTAATTACAAAATTAATTCCTGTGGGAAACACCTATAGGTTTAGTATAGATAAATCAGACAGAAAAGCTCTTCAAATGGTACGTTTTCCTCAGTTTTGCAAAGTTTCACATGTCCAGAGGGGCTTCAGCAATTCTGTGGGGAGTTGAATGCTGCTGCCAAAGTGAAGCTTCCAAAACAGTAATTGTCTTTTGGGTAGGTTTTCTGTTCTCCCTCGTGGTAAACCTTGCAGAGGAACAGCTTTGACCTGTTTCTATGATATTAGGGATTCAGTAACAGTAACTTCAGTATTAATTTGCCTTTTTTAAGGTAAACTTTGAAAGGTTTTTTTTTTTTTAAAGAGATCTGTTTTCATCTTCAACATCTCTGCAGAGGCTCAGTTGAGGCAGAAAGTCAAATTTTACTCTGCTGTGCATTAAGTCTACACCTAATATTAAAATGTGTATAGATTAAGACATGGAGTAAGTTCTACATATTTAATACACTTCTAAGTGTGAAACCAATTTTAATGCTGCTGCCTTGCTGTGTTGTACTTACAGATTTATTATGTAACAGCATTTCTTGCAGTTTTCAAGAAAACGTTTAATGTATTTGAAATGGGAATGCCTAGGTGCAAATAAAAGTAAAAATCTTAAATAAGTCTTTGTAGTCTAATTGGCTAGCAGGGGTTACAAGAGCCACAGGTGGCTGGGCAGTCTTTCTTGGTGGTGTTTTTAAATTTCAGCTCAAGTGGCTGAGAGATCTGCTTAGAAATCTGTCATTATGAACATCCAGCCCCTTAACTTTTATGATAATTGGGCTGTGATTATTTGGCTCTGTGGGAAAAAGAAGAGAAGATTATATGTTTTTAAGATTAAGAAGTGAAGTATTTAAAAAGTTTATTTTATTTTTTTATACAGTCAAAAATAACAAGCATATCTCCTTTTAAAGTGACCTTTATAAGTTTTCCATAGCACTGTTTTTCTTGCTGGGCAATTTGCATTATTTCAGTTTGTCCCTATTCAGTCTACCATATTTTGCAGTTATTCAGCAACAGGGTTTATGCTCAGGGAAGCCTGTCTTCAGGAACAGAAAAAAAAGAGGAAAAGATTCTGGTTGTAGCAATCTGGAAAGAAGAAGTGAACTGAGTATGAAGTGCTGGAAGTGTTAACTGCTTTGAGCTAGTGTCACCATCTAACAGAGGCCACCAGTATTGTTTTGGTCAAAGATCTAAACCACAGCACCATATAAGCTGCTATGAAGAAGATTATCCTATACAGGCCCAGTACCATTATTAGAAAGTCTGAAGCAGCAGGTTGAAGAGCTTACTCAGTTGTATACTTCCTGTCATATTCCCACTGAACCTGGCATTTTCCCACAATTCTTCCCGCAAACTCTTAGATGGTAGTGGGCAAAAGGTATTGTTTCTTTTTTTCTCATTGCTGTCATAGAACCTCTGCAGCAAGAGAGCGCCATTTGGATTATGTTGCATGTCTGCTGCATAGGTACCTGAACACAGACAAGATTTGGCCAGTAGTAAAGCCATAGTCTTGTTTTCAGCTAGTGTAGGAAGGTGGAATCTGGTATTTCTCTTGGCAGACTGGGTTGCCTGGAAAATGGGGTTGCAGCAAAGGTGAAGAATGCCAACATAGAAGGTTTAGTGGTAAACATGGTTTTGGCAAACATGATGTAAATTAAGATAGTTCCGAGGTATTTTTCGGTGACAGCATTGCAGGTTGGGACTGTGGAGTTATAGATACATTGTTTAGACAGCTTGATGAAAATGGAAGAAAACCCCTAGATTGACTCATTTTAAACTGAATGAGAATTCACTCTCTACCTTCACTAGAGGTATAACTATGGAAGAATAATGCTTTCTTTTTTCTGTGCAACAAAGTGACCACAGAATGTTCCTGCAATGCATAGTAGTGAAAAGTTGCTCTTGTAGTGGAGAAGATGGAACTGGAGACCTGCACATCTTTAACTGTATCTGTGGTTAAGTGATAAAAATGATAGTAAGATGTTACTAGTCACTTTCTTAAATGTGAAATCTAAACTTCTCACAAAAGGTCAGATTTTATGAATTCGTCTTTGGTTGCTTTTAAGTGTAACATTGCTATTTGGGGCATCTCTAGGAATCGAGATTTAGTTAAGGACACTGGAGTCTCATTAAGAAGATTTTGCCTTTCCCTGACTCTGTAGATCTTTAGAAACTGTTTTAACCGGAGTGTCTGACAGGACAGAGTGGAAGTCTGCCAGTGGGATGTGCATTCGTTTTAAATTCACTTGTGTACTGTATCGCAGATATTTTTCATTTACTGAAAAAAATCTTGCAAATCTTCATTGGTTTGACTAGGTGTGACTTTGTCAGTGAGAGTTGGCTGGCAAATCAAAATGAAAAGTTAGTGTCCAATTTGAATAGAAATCTATACCTTGTGTTATTATCAAAGGGTCGGAAGACAAGAGGCTAACTAATTGAAAAAAAAATCAGCTGTTGACAATGTTTTCTGACTTGCTCATAAGCTCTCCACTGACTGCCAGTGGTGCATTATGTATAGCCTGGAGGACAAATTCATCATTTTTGTGTAATGCTTTGAGTAGACTGTCGTGCTTATTAGATAAAACTAACCTTAGGATTTAAAAAAAACAACCAACCAACCAACCAAAACACCCCCCCACCAAAAAAAGCCTGCCAGAGGTTAGTGCATCTCCTCTAGCTGTCAAAATTTTATGTAGGCCAAAGAAAAGGCTTAGAATTTACTATCTGATTTGAGCCACCCTAGGTAAACTGCTTTGTGTCACTGACCATTCAGAGGTGATCAACACTTGTGTGATCGTTCAGTTCTGCTAGGAGTCATGACTGTTTATAGAGTTCAAATGCCACAGATTTTATTCACTTCTTTTGCAAAATGAGGATGTCATTAATGTTGATAAAGTTAGTTTTGCTTATAGAACAGAAACATGTTAAGACTCATGGAAAAGTTGGTACTGGAATTTGTTACAAAGTAAGTTTGTAAATGCTACTTAGTAATATAAATAATGTTAAGAAGAAGAATCTGTCAATAACCTGGTGTTTTGCTGTAACACAAGAAAAAGTGAATAGTTTGTTCTTGGAAATTTAATATCAGCTGACATCTTATGACCTCTTGATCAATACAATGTTGTTTTGCTTTCTTAGCACATTGTACTATGGGCGTTGGAATGCTCAGGCTTGTTCATATGTCCCTAATTAAGGGAGCCAGATCAGAAGTCTCTGTCTAGAGGTTTAATAAATAAGTGTAGTGTGTGTATAATGGATATATCAGCTTTAAGATTTATAATTGAAACGTTATGTAAGACTCTGCAGACAGATAATAAATTTTTTTTATTATTTCCTTTGGAATGAAATTCAAGATCATTTAAAAGGTTTTTAAGACCTCTCCAAGCATAACATAGTCATGTGATCTTTGGCTCAGTAAAGCTTTGAGTAAATGAAGTACTACCTTATAATGTGCATGCTTAGTCACAACAGCAAAATAATGTCAGGAAAAGTGTAATATGTTTGAACTTTCGGGCAACATGTTTTTCAAAGTGTGTTATTATGTGGTTTTAAAGTTGGCTGGTCCAACTGCATGACACAGACTTGACCACAGTAGAATTACATGTGAGACCACATACCAAATATATATTAAGTAGAAATGTAATCCAGAATTTACAGTTCTGTGTCTGTATTAAAGCTTTTATACGAATGTCTGTCTGCTGTGTTGGCTGTAAAAGTACAGCTGTTTGGCTGCATCTCTTGTGGCGAACAAAGCTGCTGTTCAGTATTTTGTACTGTCATTGATGCACTGACTAATTTTAATACCTCTCATCCAGGGTGAGTAGTTTTTTCTGTGTGGCTTTAAGGCTTAATTTTCATTCTGTATTTTCCTTCAGGCACTTGTAAGGACAAAGATAAACCTTCGAGCCTCTCTGTCCTTGAGACTTTGAGGTGTACCTTGACAGCTTACCAGAACAAGCTGGAAGATATGTCTAATGAGGTAACACTTGCACTGTTTGGCTCTATATGTATTGCCTTCGGCCTGCAGCAGTACATACGCTTTGCTTGTAAAAAAAAGTCAGAAGAGTGGGAATGTTGAGTTGACAGATTCACATATACCCAAAGAAATAATCTGTCACTACTGTTTCGCTAATCTAGCCCTACAGTGAAATTTCACTTAAATCTGGGGGACAGGGAAGAGTTTTTTTTTTTTTTTCTTTTTAGTTTAATTTGGTTTTGTTTTCATATTAAGCCTGTTGGGGTTATTATTTTCAATAATTTTTCAGGAAAATGAGCCGTTCATATCTAGGATTTCAGTTAAAAGATGATGACGTAAGAGTTGGGCAGCGTGTACTGCAGTATTCCTAAATATACAACACCTGAGCCTCAGCAGTTATTGATACTAGTTATGTAAATGTGCCTTCCCTTGTACATTTAGAAAGTGGCATAATTTTCAGAGATGTGTGTTTATAATGAAATCTCTTTTGGTGCTGTTTTGAGGTCTTTTCAAGTAAAATAGGACAGTGACAATACTTGTAAATTATCTAGGACAGTAATGGAACTATTTCAGTTTTGGAAGTTTTACCCTTAAAAAAAATCAAATGTTTTCCATGCAGTCCTACTAGTCTTATTTCACTGTCTGAGAAGTCACAATCTTACATTTATTGTCTCATTTGTATTTCTAATATGATTAGATGAATTCTCTTGGTGTAAATGTTTTATGAATTTGTGGCTTTAAAGGCTGTAGAGAGAAGTTAACTGCACTGTTAAAGCTTTCTGTGCAAACTTGTAATTCACTTATCTGTGGATAAAATTGGCAAATACAGAAGGGCAAGGTCTGATAGATAAGACTGTAAGAAAGCTAGTAGTGTTTTTTGATTTCTAGGTTTTGTCTTCTGTTTTGACAAATACATAGTCCAGCTAGTCACTCACAATGTTTAAATAAGAAAAAAAAAAACAAAAAACAGGCAAAAAAGTGTGTCAGCTTTGTCTTTTTTTATTGGGAGAGGAATGGTCTCCCGCAAGACCTTTGAGATTGTTGTGGACACAAAAATAAGTGACCATGGAAGCAGTTATACTTTTGCAAACAGCAAGCACTGCTAGGTATCTCCCAGTGAGATAAGAGAACTGATGTGCATAGTCATTATGAAACTCTTCTGAGACCCAAGTCTGGAAGCTGAAGAGTAACTAGGAACATATTACCCACAGTGAATTGTTATTTGGGGGGGGGAATGTCACGTGATAGGCAGCGCAGTTGAAAAGTCAACTCAGCAGGCTTTGGCTTAGTGATGTGCTTTGTTGTGAAACTGTGCCAGAGACAGCAGTGGGGAGACCAAGGGGGTGGCTGCTAAGAAAGCAAAGAGAGTATTCTGACAGAAAGAAGAATGAACTGTCAAGGAAAATAAATCGCAAGCAGAGCAGGACCAACAGATTACGTGCCACAAGACTTCCCAGTAGGACTGCGTGTGACTGACCCTGAAGTTGTCATATAGAGCCAGAGATCACTGAGCACCTTCATAAAGGGCAGTGCTCTGTCCTTCTTGATTATCCCCACCTCCATAGATAACTCCACTTTTGGCTTTTTATATATTAGATATGTTTAGTAATAAAACTTTTTAATAATGCAATAATGCACAAAGGGACTATGAAGGGCACTGTGCAATAAAAACAGGATGTTTTAATACACAGCAGTAAGGGCTTAGTTTTGAGTAATTATTGGTTCTTTTTAAAGAGAGATTTTAAACAAGACGCTGCATATTGATGGACTTCTTAATATATGTATGCACCTGTATGTACATGTAAAATATGCTGGTAAACTTGCCATGTGTCACCTCTCTTACTGTGTAGAGCATTAGATTAAACAATCTAATTCATTTGTGTGACTGAAAGGTGTATAAGTGTTTTGCTTTTGACAGATAACAGGCTTTCAACTCTCTCTATAGTGCAGATGCTAAAATATTTTTGAGGAGACATAAAACACTAGTAAACCAACAGAAAGACTGCAAATACTCCAGTAGCATTCTGTAGTTTACTGTAATTATTTCTAAGGGTTCTGCCAAGTCTCCTGATTTGAGATAAAATCAAAACCTAATTTCCAAAGTAATTTGTAAATTTTGTAAATTTTTTTTTTTTTTACTTCTGAGTTGCTCCTTAATGTTTAAGTACCAGCAGTAACCTGAACTATAATACATACCTATTCGATGCTTTCTTTCAGACATTTGTATTGCTAACTTCATCATCGGGTAAAGACACAGGTTATAATGATATGTCGTTATCTTTTTTGAAAGTGGAAGGTGAAGCTAGTGCACATACTGATCATGAGCTACCTCTAAGGTGGTTGCTTGTAACATCACAAGTAGCTCAGTAGTCACAGTGAGTCTCAGGAACATGGCTGCTTTTTATGAGTATATGAGTACTGCCCAGCACTCCATAAAAAGTAGAGACCAGGCTTGCAGCTGGACAGTTTCTGCCACTTACTTTGAGAGCTCGTTTTCTCAAACCATGGGCCAGATTATAATCTGAATTTGTTACATTTTCACATGTTTCAAAGTTTGTTTTTTTGTCAGATATTTTGCAAGTTAATGGGAAATTTAATATTGGACTCAGTTGTGGATTCTGCCACTGCTGTTTATCTTAAATCATTATAAAAATCTTAATGCTTTTGTAATAGCGCATTATTGTGTAGAGTATGAATATTGCCAAAGGAATTAGAAACTTTTTTTAAAAATTTATTTATATATAAAATTCTTATATTCAAATGATTATGTAGCATTTTTGTAAAAGCCTGTTTGACCTCCATATTTTTCACAGCTTAGGAAAATGGAGGCTTTGTGTGAAAAGAAGACAAAAGAACTGGAGATATTTGAAGAGAAAATGTGTGCTTTAAGTGAAGACCTCAAGGTATGGTTTCAGGAACTTAACATAAAATATGAAAGTTCTGCAAAAAAATGTATTTTTCTGTAATTATGGTACCTTTTTATCTTATCAGACTAAGTCTCTCTGTTGTATTCTGTTGAGCAGACGAGTTTACCTTGCAAGCTTGTGTGAAGACATGCTGCTTTATTCTGGTTACCACTTTAGACTACCTAACTGATCTTTTCTGATAATAACTGATTGCAGTTCTGAAATAATTCAAAATAGATTTATCAACTTGCAAACTATTGTTTTATATTGAAATCAGCATTGGTAATTTTTTCCTGTTAATTGTTTTTCTCTAGAAAAGGGGGCGAGAATTTAATTACCTCTGTTTGTATGAAAGCACGTTTTATTAAAGATGTCCTTTCCTTTGTTAATTTTTATTGTGTTTATCTGACAAGTTAATGCATGTATGAAGCATCAGGTCAGCCTTAACAGTGTGTAGCCCAAAATTTCCTCAAGTATAAAATCTACCTGAGTACTGATAAAAATACTTGAGAACTTTTTTCTTTAGTTTCTGAACAAGAATTTTTTTTGATCTCTGTTTTTGGCTGACACACCCGTTTAGTAATGTCCTGTCTGGTTACATCAATGGCCAAGGGAATGAGGAAGTCCTGAGGTCATGGTTAAACTTAATCTCCCAACTGGCAGTATATTATATTACTGCCAAAATAGAACATCTCTGTTCCCAGTGTTACTCAGATTCTTTTGCTGGGAATATGCTGCTTTATCACTTTAGTCACAGATGCTTCTGCAGCAGTCATTGAATCTTCATACTAATTGTTACTTGCATGTGATCTCCTGCTATCTGATTGAAACTCTCTTTACCAGTTTATGTTTGGAGAACTTAAGTCTTCTGCTTCTGTTGCAGCACCTTTTTAAGGCACCTAAAAATTTTCCAATCCATTGTAACAGATACCTGTATTCTTCATGCAAAAACTGAATTTGCTACACACAGGTGGTGGTGGTTTTATGCAGTTCACTAGTTTCTTTTTAAATTTTTGCTAATAAATCTGTATATATGAATGCAAACTAGATACACTCTTGACAGCATTTGTGTTACAAAATTGGCATTGCTTTAATCTTTTAGTGTTTTCATTACGAAGAATGAAAGTTGTCACTGTCTGATGAATTTGGAATTATCTTTCCTATTATATTTCCCATATAAGCAGCTATGCTTTTATGAAAAACAAACAGTGCTTTCAGTTTGACCTTTAGCAAAGTTAAGCAGTGCTGGAAGTGCAGTGATTGTAGGAGTGGAAAGCATGTGTATCTGTCCACTCCATCTCAGCAATCTTCTGGCTGAAATGGGGTAGTGTATTCAGTTCTTTGTTTACCTTGCAAGACTTGGTACTAGTAATGTAATGACTGTATTTATGGTAATTTCTGATTATTAGTTTCTTCCAAAGGTCCAGTCTCCAAAGAGAGTCGCATTTTTTTTACTGTGCAGACAAAGAATGCAGTGGGTAACAGCAGATGTCTGTGTTGTCTACCTACTCAGCTGTAGTGAATCGGAGATTTACTTAGGAACATAGTGTATCTTTTCACTAGCTCTGAGAGCTTTCTACTCTCTGTGGAGAATAACTTGCATCCATGCATTCTGTATCTCAGTTGCGGCGGTAAAGGGGATTCAGAAGGTCACTGCACCATGGTGCTTTTAACTCTGAAATGGATTTCTGATGCTGTCTAGTAACAAACTGTGGAGAAAGACTATTATTAGTTTTGAAATTCTGTTTTTGAAAGATACTTAGCTTAGCCTGCAGTCTTCTGAACACATGTGGCTATACGACTGTTTACTTCCTCAGATGCTGAGCACTGGATATCAGGAAACATTTTATAGAGTAAAATTCTCTTCTGTTCCATGATTTTGTTCTACAGGAAGCTCAGGATAACCTAGATGATGCCAATAAAGAGTTAAATCATCTGCACACTAAATGTACAGACAGAGAGACTTTAATAGGAGCTTTAAAAATTGAACTGCTGAATGTACAGCAATGCTGGGAGAAGGAGAAAGTACGTGTCACAGAATCTGAAAATGAAATCCAGAAGCTTACCAGGGCTTACCAGAAGGATATGGAGGTATTACCAAAGACAAGATGACTGTCAAAGAGCGTCTTTATTTAATCTTAACTTTATACATTTACATACATCAAATGGTTATTCTTAGTCTTAACAGATTTATCCCTGAAATATGATTTTAAGATACGTATTTTGAAATATGTATTTAATATCTACAGGATCTCAGGACATACTCGTTCTCCTTCCTTCTGTAGCAGAATTAATAACTTAACCCTTCCAGTGTTTGATTTTTTGATCAACTAAGTTTATTTAAAGAGCTATGCCTGATGAACAATTATTTCTTTCTTTCAAATTGAAAGTTAACAAAAATGTTTTACAATTGAAACATACAATAGTCATCATCATGTGTTACTAATTCACATGGCAATTGATAGATAGCAAATGTGGAGTTGAGGTAGTTTCGCCTGCATGACACAAACCCTAGAAATTCTTATTTGTTACCTGTTAGCTTGTTGTGGTATGCTGTATGTGGGAATTGCTGCACAAAGTCTTGTTTCAGAACTGTTATCTCTCTCCTTATATTTGTTTACAGATGTTAGTTTTATTGCTTTTTCTCCCCCAGTAAAGCAAAAAAGTACTAGCAATAGCAATGATATACTTTATCATGGTTGTGCATATTGAGCTCATTACTTCCCCAGATTTGGACATGGATGCCAACTGAGTAAAAAGAAAACATTCTTTCCACCTCTTTTACAGTCTGGTATTTAATTTGTGTCCACATGAAGCAGCTGGAATTGTTATACACATGAGATAATGATTAAAGTGAATGAAACTACAGGCTTGGCTATATTGTAAAGTCAGCATGTCTACAACACTGTGGTTGCATTCAACATGTGTGAATTGATTTTGGGTCTTGGGATCTCCTTTTCACGCCAAATGGATAATTACCATCCTTGATTTGTCACAGCTCAAGCAAAAATGTAATGGTGGTGACACACTGAATTTTCAGTAGGGAATGAGATCTGCTAGAAGTGAAGTTTAAACTAAACTGCAATTTTTTATTGCCTAAAAATACCATTGAGTAATTTTGAGAAAATGCACTGAAGTATAATGGAAAGGGCTCAGAAAAAGCATAGTTCCCCATCTCGGTAACACAACTTCTTAATGTAAAGCCTCATCCAGGGCCCCTGAAAAACAATGGGAACCTTTGCAATAGTTTACTGACTTGGAATAAAGGCTCTGTTTCTTGTGGCTTTTGAGGTACAGCTTTCTATTGTTGTCTTAATCGAAATTGCTAAGTTGCATATATGTACTAAAAGGATGAAGGCTGAAATTTCTGTTGCATGCTGTTGTTCCTGAAGTGTATTGGTAACTTGCATCAATTTATTATGTTTGCACTAAAATATTTGTATCTATTATACTTACATGAAAATTAGTGTAAATGAATGAGGCATGGCTTGAGGAATTTAACTGGTGAAGCTACAAGTCTATTACACATAATCAGCACAAAAATAATTTTTTAAGGACTTTAGAGTGGTAATTGTATAAGCAGTGTGCTATGCTGCTAAACTAATCAGACAACTTTCTATGTATTGGGCAGATATAGGAGGTGCGTACAATTTGATTGTACCTGAACATGTTAACATGAATGATCAGATTGCATCTACTAATAGCACGAAAATTTTTATTTGTATCAGATACTAGTTCTGACCACTGCAAGATTGGGCTGGCTTTATTTGTGTAATCAGACAAATTTTGAATAACCGTTTCCTTACTCTGGCTTTAATACGTATGGCTGCAAATATTAACAAGGGATTGAGGAATTTTGACAAGATTTGAGAATTGGCATTGTGGGGTTTTCAGCTGTGTGCAGCTCACATTATTACACATATGATGCATCTCTTTGGATTATAACACTGTTCAGATACAACAGTTAATTTTTCTTTTTGTTTCAGGAGAAGCTAACCTTCCTCCATAGCTTATACCAGCGTTTGGTAGCAGGCTGTGTGCTTATAAAACAACCAGAAGGCATCATAGATAGATTCTCTTGGTCTGAGCTTTGTGCAGTCTTGCAGGAGAATGTTGATGCCCTGATCTTAGACCTCACCGGGGCTAATGAGAAGGTAAGTGTCCTTAGGCACCAGCTACTTCTATTAAATTCAGTGACATTTGTCCACATCACAGTATCATTAAAAAGGACTGACATTCATCTTATTTCAAAAAGAATTTGGATGTTAATAATTCAGTACCATTAATTATGGCTTGTCTACAACTCGGTTTGATGCCATTGCTGTGGGCATGTAAATGTGACTGAAGTCTGTATGAAGTCTCTAAGCTCCACTTTCTGTGCAGGACATGCTAATAGTACTAGCCAATATTAGCCACAGGGACCTAATTAAAAGAAAATAAATTAATCTTACTGATGAAGCAATTCAAAGGACTTAGTCATTTACACTAATAAAGCAAGTCTTTATTTTAGCATAAAACAGAAACAAAATGCACTTCAGGATCTTCATCTTTAAATTTCATGTTTATGATTCAGAGGTACTATCTGAAAAAATGCTAGTGTGTTTATTTGGTTTAATTGTAACTTTTGGATTATGAAATTTGTGTTCAGAAATACAATAAAAAACATTTATTTTCATAAAGTTTGTTAATATTTAAGGGAGATGATGTACTTTTCTGAATGATTTTAATGTGAATAAGCTTACGTGGCTTTTCTCCCCGGAAATCCCTGTGTTTTCAGGAATGAAAAGACTTCTTTTTAAATAACTTAAACTGGCTCCAAGGGGTAACGTATGCCACTCTTCAGGATTTCAGTTCGTGTTCTGCCTGCACTGATCAGGCTGGTCATACAGTCTAATACAGTGGCTCCAGATCTTGTCTGCTCTGACATTTTGTTCTTCAGGCACAGGAGGGGAAAGCTCTTTCAGGAGTTTCTCATCCGCTGGAATTGTGGCCTCTGTTATGGCTGGATTAAGGGACAAGGCTGGTTACAGTGAACTGTGTTTTCACTCTGCCCATTATTTAGTAAACACCGCAGAAGTCAATGGAATTTACCAAAGAGGGATTGTGCAGATTGGATGTATGGTTCTATTTTCCTTTTGATGTCAAGGAGGGAAAGGAATGGAAGAGAAGGGCTTGAACATTGTTGGCAGTGTTTGGGGGGGTTGTGTATTATCGTTTCTTGCTTTTTAATTTAGTATGGTTATTGACATTGATTATGAGGTCTCTGGGGCTCTTTCCATGTTCCCACCAGCTTTTCAGTGATTTGGGGCAGTTACCTGTGTGTTACCTGCTTACTGAGAACAAATTTTTTTCTCCTGAAGTTCTGTGTGATCTCTTTGGAAGATATCTTGCTGATATTCTAGTATCTAGTAACTAATAATGAAGTATAGGCATATGTATTTAGAGGTCATTGTTAGCTTAACTCATTTCTCCATTTAGTTTGCATGAGACCTGCAAAACTAGACCACAGAGTGAATCCCTTCATGCTTGTTGAAAACACATCATAAACAAATGAGCTACTTGGAAGAAAAACATTCTGTGCACTGAAATTTCCTGAAATTATTTTAGTGTTGAATAATACGTGGAATGTTTCAACTTTCCAGTAAAACAAACAAACAAACCCCCCCAAAAAGGGCTATTTTTTTATTATTACTTGCTAATTTAGCAGCACAAAATTTACTGCACTTGTTTCAGAGTAATACAGTAAGTGTCCAGTTCATGTTTCCAACAAAGAAGGCAACAGGTATATGCAAGGTGTTATAAGGATGACAAAACTGAAACCAACGAAAATTCATTATCCCTAGATATGTCTCAGTTTTCTTGAAGGAGTCAAGTAAGCAATCTGTCATTAAAGGTTTTTACTTATTTTAAATAAATGTGTTGAAGAAATTACAATTTGATTTTATGATGAAATAGCCTGTGCTTAAATTAATATGTACAATTAAAGTAAAAAAGTGTTTTGGGAGGTAAAACAATTTTTTTAAATATATGTCACACAGATATCTCATCTAGAATGTATTTGTAAGAGCAAGTCTGATACTGTGAAGGAGCTTCAGCAGAGCCAGGAAGATGCTTTTAGTGAAATGGCTGAACAAATGAAAGCACAGGAAAGCTGTTGGCAGAAACAAAAAGTGTATCTGGAGCAGCAGTACTATGGTCTCCTTGGGGAAGTTCATGCAAGGGTACAGGTATGGTGCTGTGAACCTCTGATTTTTTTATTTTTTCTTGTAAATATTTAATGGATTATTTCAGTGCTTTTTTCAGCTACTAACCAATTTAAGGTTGTTTGGGAGTTTCATTGTATCGTTAAAATAATAATAAAAAAAAAATTAAAAACCCGGCACACTCTCCCCCTATTCTGCTAGCATTAACTTCACTTCTAGCAAGAAACAAATTACTTTGTTAAAACATTCCAAAAGTGATTTGTTTAATTTGGTGTAACAGTTGCTATTGATTTCTTTTTATTTTGAGAATGTTAAAGCTGTAAGACTGAAATGCCCTGTTTAAAGAATTGTACAGGGCAGCAGTTACTTCTTCAGTGTCCTGCTTTGTAAAGACTCTGTAGAGTAATGGTGATGTGGTGTCATCTGGTGATAAATTTAGTCATATACATTCTGACCAATTAACAGTTACATTTGTAGATTTCTGCAGTATCAAAGGACTCTATTGTACAACTACTACAATGAGCAGTGGTTCAGAAGTGTAAAATTGCTGTCACTGATTGTTAGAAAAGTTGTTTGCAATCTAAAATTTTCACTGTTGTTCTACAAACACAGTTCATTGTCTTTTCAGTTACATTCCTTTACACGTGTTTCAGTTAAGTGTTATGAAATAGAGTGTCCTGGGTTCAGCAGTAGCAGTCATGTTTCTCCTTTGTGGTAGCTGGTGCAGTGCTGTGTTTTGACTTCCATTCATTTCAGAGAAATGAATAGGCCTTGTTATTTGCTACTTCATCAGGAGAATATTTGACTCAGCTCTTGGGTTTGGAACTCTGTGCATTCTGACAGATGTATTTACAAAGTGTTCTTCAGACAGAGCAATTCACGGTAATTTCTTAGGAATGAGTTAAAATCTTGTATATATTTTTTGCTTGATATTTACATCTCACATTGGAGATTTACAATACTAAAAGTATCCCTGTAAGTAGAATAAGTGGCGTCCAGACTTACATTAACTTCTCCCAACATCCTGTAGTTTCGTCTAATGAAATCATTGCCAACAAACAGAATGATAACATGAGACAGCTTAATTTGAAAAATTACTTTTCCTTGTGTCCTGGGTTCAGCAGTAGCAGTCAATTTTTCTCCTTCTTAGTAGCTGGTGCAGTGCTGTGTTTTGACTTTCAGCCTGGGAACAGAGCTGATAACACTGATGTTTACTCTGACCAAGGACTTTGTGAGTCTCATGCTCTGCCAGGGAGGAGGGGAGGCCAGGAGGAAGCAGGGACAGGACACCTGACCCAAACTGACCAAAGAGGTATTCCATACCACAGCACGTCATACCCGGAGAGGTAACTGGGAGTTACCCAGAAGGGCACTCTCTTCTTGATCGGGCTCGTTTCAGCGAGTGGTATTGTATTCTCTTCCCTTGTTATTTCTCTTATCATTATTATCATTGGTGGCAGCAGCAGTGTTTTGTGTTATACCTTAGTTACTGGACTGTTCTTATCTCAGCCCGTGGGGGGGTTGGGGCCGACGACGACAAGGAAAGAAAGAAGTGGGGAGAGAGGAAACTGTGTGGCTGACTGTGTTTTAACCATGACGGTTTCTTTTTTTTGCAGTGCTGTGCTTGCAGCTGGGGTAGCCGCACTGTCTGTTGCAGTCGAAGTTTGCGTAGCTGCTCTACTTGTTGTTAGCTGCGCTGTTCATTGCAGCCAAAGTTTGGGTAGCTTGTCGCTGAGGGTGGTGTAGCTTGCTGTGCTTGGAGCTGAAGTAGCTGCGCAACTGTTGCTTTGCCCTCAGATCCGCCGACATTCTTTTCCTTTTGAAGGTGCTGGATAGTGTTGAACAAGGCCCTGTAAGCATAGGCCAAGCCCCAGCACGTTGCCATGATTTGTCCATCTCTGGTATGGCCAGAATGACCACACACCTTATTTAAGTGTTTTACTAATTTTTCTGGATTTTGCACTTGTTTGTTGGTGAAATTCCAAAGTACTGGAGGGGCCCACTGACCTAGACCCTTGCCCATACTAGCCCACAAACCCTGCCACTGATGGGTGTCCAGCCTCAGGGAAAATCTCTCGGTCCTCCTATATCATTGTTTAACCCCAGACAAGACCCAGACCTGACTCTGCTTAACTCTTGAAATCAGACGAAATGGTCGTGGGCAAAACACACTCTGTATGCATGCCAGCATGGTGATTCCCATCACAATCAGCAAACAAGTCTCAACAGCATTAAAATGCCATTCAAAGACTTCAAAACTCTCAAACGTAAACGGTCTGGAGTGGGGTACTGGGAGGGTAAAAGGATGTCTCCTTCACAGTTTGAGCATCCGAGAAGGAGAAAAAAAGATGTGTAATTGCTAAGCACTTCTGTTATATACCTCCCAAAGTATAAAGGTGGTGACCACACTGGGAACATAAACCAGATCAGTTTCATGATCAATGATTCTATTGTATTACAAGTCATTACCATAAAGTACAATGAGACAAGAACCTTAGCCCAAGCCCCACACTTGAAAAACATTAACACAGCAAATCGCCTCTAAGTAAGGTGCAATATACTGAAACTGAGATCAAGAGCAACAACTTTGAGAGCCAATAAATCAGCATTGTGACGAGTGACTATTAATCTGAAACAATGAATGCTTATCACAAATTCGATTAGACACACTCCGGTCAGATCTGTCATTATCTCAACCGCTTGTGCCCCATGGTGGGGGCCAAAAGAAACTGTCATTGTTTAAACCCAGTCAGCCACGCAGTTTCTACTCCCCCTGCTTCTTTCTTTCCTTCCCCCGCCCCCTGCTCCCAGAGTGATTCGGAGGAAAATCGAAAAAATGTAACTCCGATGGGTTGAGATAAGAACAGTCTAGTAACTAAGGTATAGCACAAACCACTGCTGCTACCACCAATAATAATAAGAGAAATAACGAGGGAAGAGAATATGATACTACTCGCTGAAACGAGCCCAACCAAGAAGAGAGTGCCCTTCTGGGTAACTCCCAGTTACCTCCCTGGGTATGACGTGCTGTGGTATGGAATACCTCTTTGGTCAGTTTGGGTCAGGTGTCCTGTCCCTGCTTCCTCCTGGCCTCCCCTCCTCCCTGGCAGAGCATGAGACTCACAAAGTCCTTGGTCAGGGTAAACATCAGTGTTGTCAGCTCTGTTCCCAGGCTGAAAGTCAAAACACAGCACTGCACCAGCTACCAAGGAGAAAAATTGACTGCTACTGCTGAACCCAGGACACCTTGCTAAAGAAAAAGGGGACACACAGTTTAGATTTCTACCTCCTACAGATGCTGAAAAAAAAAAAAATAAAGTCCTGAGTCATCTCTTGTGGAATTCTTAGCATATTGTGGAGAATTGGTGCTGTGCAGTACTGTACCATTCTTTGGGATGGTGCTGAACCAACTGGTCTGTTCAGCTGAAATATGTAAAGAGCTATCAGAGCATGTTCTGAAATAATGGCTCTCTTTGGAGAGTGCATTAGGCGTGTCTTCTAGAAAATAGTTTCATCTGTCAACTTGCAGTACAGGTCTGCTGGGTTTCGTAAAGGGAAATGCTTTCCCTTAGAAATAGATGGGCATGTTTTGTAGTTCATATTGCAAGTTGGAGTACAGTAGTTGGAGTACAGGCTGATAGTGTTGTAATCTAGGCAGTGTGTGTCTGTGTTCAACAAAACTTTGTTGCATCTTTTTACCATCCTGTATTCCAGTTGCCTGCCTTACCATTCAGTGTCAGTCTGGAAAGAGAAGCGTCTTAATTTCTTCTGTATTTCTTCTGTATTTCTGACTTTGGGCCTGCAAATACCAGATGAAACCTTTACCTTTCTGGAAACCATAGGGTCCCTGGATGTCTTCTGTTAGGGCTATCCTAATCCTGATTGCTTGTTTTTCATAAGACCTGACTGTCTTTTACCCTATTTGTCTGCAAGATCACTGCTCTTTTGGATCATAGGTGTGTGGACAGATTAACTTTGTCGCCTTATTTCCATAGGAAACAAGGAAAAATGTGCCTCAAGTTATGGAATGTCATCTAAGGGTCTTTTAGATATTACTGTATGCCAGTGTTTATGTAAACATACAGAATGCAATATTTAAATTTAATTAACAGGCTTTATTCATTAAACTTTATAGGAAACATATAATCAGTGCAAGTGGAATATGATTTGCCATTATTCTGTATTTCATTGTAGAACTGTGGGTCTCATCACTCTAGGACATTTATTCTAGCAGTACAAGGAAACTGTAATAATTTGCTGTATTTTCCATCCAAAAATCTGAGTGTTAATTACAAGCAGTTCAATAAACCAATCCCTTGTAGGCTCTGCTCCCTTTCCAGAAGTGGAAGAGTAGTGATTTTTACTGTCATGCACCAAGCTAATGGTGCATCATAGGATGCATGCTTTTGCAAGTTTGTCTTCAACCAGTGTTCTGTGCCTTTTTCTAGATACTTTCTCCTCAGAGATCCTGGGTTGAGACTTCTTTAGTTTTTGCAGTTGACAGTACATGTACAAAGGCAGACTGAGACTGAGTCAATTCAGACTCTCAGAAGTTTGCTGATTGCTCCAACTACACAGCAGTATGAGTAATGTATGTTGGAAATTACTGTTTTTCTTTCTTGGAGCTGTGGTAGAGTGAGGGCTCTTCAGAATGGTCTCCTTATGATTAAACTGTAATATTGCAGTACCTTCAGGCTTTAGTAGCGATGACACCTGCCACTGCTTCTGTCCCCAGCCATGCTGTTCAGGGTCCCTGATTGCAAGATAGAATCTACGGATGCTAATAGGTAACTGCTTCAAAGCTGTTACTGTAGGCCAGATGGACAATGTAATCAGAAAGCAGTTTCACTGTTTTTCTCTAGGACAAAAATTCCCAGAGTGGCCTTATCATAGATCAGCAGTAAACAGGCACTCTATAGATACTGCTTTTCTTTGTCAGTGGTCTCTGTTGGCAGAGTTAATGGAGCCTAAATTGCATATGCTTTTTACTTGCCTTCTGTAACAGAAGTGCAGTCCTCTTGATTTGATGGTGTGCCATTTTGAAAATGCTACTGTGCTTGTTCCTTAGCCTCTCAAAAATATTTATTTAGACTTTGCACACTCTCACAGAAAATGTCCTCTGAATTTTTACTGTCAGTTGCTGTTTATTATGTAGACATTTATTAATCTGTCCCCATTTTTTTTTTTTTGTGGCAACCACTTAAAATAGAAGGGGTTTGTTCTGATATGCAAAAACGTGTTGCAAGACAAAAATCATGTAGCTACTTAAAAAATGTTAATTTCAACAGAAAAATAAAAAGTTTTCTAAATGGGAAAGGGAAAAAGACCTCTAGGGAGGAAAAATATCTTATTTGCACTGTTTTTTTTTTGTTGTTGTTGTTTGGCAGCCTGGCTTTTATAGCAAGGCTGGTGAAATAGCTAAAGGCTGTGGTATCTTGCAGTTGTATCAAAAGTCAGTGCAATCAGTGCCAAAGCAGGATAAGTACATGCAACTATACTGTTCCTGACCCACTGGGTGTCTTTGATAGACATGTCTGCCGATGTACTTAAAGCACAGGAAAGAAGGGGAGGACAGTGGTGTTGATATTGTTAGATATATAGATATATATTTTTAGAAAAATACTGAAATACAGGAAAACCTTTTGAACTCATAGTGTCATTCTATTTCTAGTTTCCAGTTCAAGCCAGAAAAAAAGGTAAGGATATAGTAAGAAGTAGGATGAAATGGTATTGCTAGTTGCACCTGGTTTTTGGTAAGGATTCTTGGAATCCACCAAGCTCTGCAACCCAGTGAGGTGTTCCTTAAGCTGGCTTGCCAATGTTTAGGAAGAAATGGTGTCCCTTTCAAAAAGTGTGCTTTTAAGATTTGAAGAAAACACTCGAAACAGTGTGGGGTAAGACAGAAGCAATTATTAGCTGGTAAAATCAAGGGGTATTTACTTACAAAACTTTTGCATTTCTGTAGTCAGAGATTGTCTTGTTCAGTTTTCCGTATTACCATATAACCGTAGTCATAAAAAGACTAAATTCTTTTTAAAAAATAAGCTTTAATTAGGCAGAGCACTGAATATTAGTATTGCTGCCCAACAACCCTGTAGGGATCACACTTTGTTTACTTGGATACTGGCCTTTCATCTGTGACAGCTAGAAACTATAAGTTGTTTTCTAAATTCAGCTTACCTTTTCAGTTCCTTCCAGTCATACTATCACAGGGTTTTGATTTTGTTTTTTTTTTTCTGTAGAAATCAAACACTGTAAATAATGCAGTAACACTGAAAGTATTGTACATGTTCATACTTAATTTTAGAGTAGTAAGTAACATATGACACCTGTAAATTGCATTCTGTAATTAAATCTTTTAGTTACCTACTCTATTTTCATATTACTGAAAGTATTTTAATAATACTACAAATTCTTCCTTTTCTGAAACAAAAGAGACAGTCTGAACTGACTAGGGTACTGCTCTATAGAAGCGTGGAATCTTTTATTTCCATTCTATGGAGAGCTGTGCATCTTTTTTTAACTGTTGTGCTTGCAGTGTGGAGGAGGGTGAAGAAACCAGGGTGCCCCCCTTGCTGCTTGCTTGGGAGTTGTACAAAGTAGAACACATGGGAATGTGTTTAGATGATACCATTTTACTTCTCTTTTGGACACCGCTGGCAGAAATAACCTCACCCCACTTTCAGCAAAATTGCCTATAGCTCTAAGAGAGGTAGCTAAACCTTAGCATAAACCTCTCTTTTCTTTATCATACAGCCTTGTCATTCCATTCATGTTTGGGTTTTTGTGTTCATGTATTGTAACTGGAGCATAAGTATTTAACTTGAGTTTGTGGGTTCTTTGTGAACAGTGCCTAAAATTTATCTCTGGATCTTGTTTAAATGTAGCCTCAAGTGGTTATTGCAATCACAGAGGACTGTCATGCATCAAGAAACCAATCTAAGTCTCTGAGGTCCCAGCGTAGGGTCTTGATTTCTGTACAAGAACTGCATGTTATCAAAAGCAACCAGTCTGTGCATGGTCTAACCTTAGTCCTGGCATTCCCTGGCTTGTTAGTGTCTTCATTTTGCTGGACTGGTTTACTGTTTTAAATCTTCCTCTTTCCCCATATCAGGGCATACAGAGGAAAATAAAAATTGTTCTGCAAGTTGAAAAAAATCTGTAATGTCCCTAGTCAAAATAAAAATATCTGTATTACACTGTCCTTTTGAAAACATAATGCTGTATGAGACCTAATTAATCTGTGAATATATAAGTAGGGGGTTGATTACAAAGTAATTAAGAGATCACCTTTAGTTCCCCTTTCCCAGCTGCTGCCAATCTGTTTAGGTTTATCTTCCAGAGTCTTACTTGTTTTTTTACTCTCCCTTACACTAACTTTCATTTCTGCTTTGAAAGACAAAGTTCTTTCTTGAAATGGAGGATGCAATTACTTATTGTTAAACCAGCTCATAAAACTGTATGGTGGATGATCGGGTACTGTCAGACCTCCTGTGGGCAATTGCAGTACTAGTGGATTATCGTATTTCTAACTGAAGATTGTGCAGATTTTCCTTGTGCTATTGAATTCTTTTCATACATCTGATTCTCTAACTGCTTGTTAGGTGAGATCCTTTAACAGTCATTAGTAATATTTTTTTGTTCCTTTAATGGGTTATTTGAACCCAAAATAAAAAAAATTGTGTAGCTAAAAATGATTTTTTTATTTTTAAAAAATATTCTCTGAGTAATTTTTTTTCTGATTTTCTTTTTTCCCCTTATCCCAGGAATACCAAAAAACAGCAGAAAAAAACAAGGAAAAAATTTATGTCCTTGAAAGAAGACGGGATAAATTAGCCCTTGAAAATGTTTCTGTGAAAAATATGTTAACACAGGTTCAGAAGGAGCATTCATCTCTCCTGGTAGCCTGTGCTCTGTTGGCGGGTGCCCTGTATCCTCTCTACGGCCGATCATGTGCTATGTCTTCCCAGAGGGACCTTCTCCAGGATCAGGTCAACATTTATGAATTAGTGAACCAGGAGATTAGGACCCTAGTTCATGCACTCTCTGACATAGAGGAAGACAGTCAAGATGATGCAAAATGGAAGAAAAGAAAACTCAAAGGCTTGATTCATGTTTTTCGAAGAGATGTGATTGCAGTTTTGGCAGCTAACAGATTTAAAGTTTTAGCCCAGTCTTCTAGTTCCCTCTTCTCCTGGGTAGATGGCTTCAAAGAAGGCATTGGAATTCTAGTTTGTATAGGAGAATCCAAAGGCAAACATAATGTGTCAAGTAAGCAAATGGTTTTCTGCTTTGATAAGTGTTATGTCAAATTACGTGGTTAGTAAATAACAAACAGGAATGTTATTAATTGAGTGTAAAGACAAATTTAATGACCTTTTTGTAAATGTAGTTTCTGTATTTGTGATTTCTGGATTTCTTGACAAATTTAATTTTCTCTGAAAAGGAAACATTTAGTTTGTTAAGCATTGAAAGAAAAGTTACAGCTACTCATGTGAACTCATACTGTTTGATATTCTTGCCATTTGCATTACAGATTTCAGAACTAGTTGCTGCCACATTCTCTGTGGTAAATACATTGTAATGTACATTTTTGAAAAGGTGCTTCCTCTTCTATTAATAACTTCTAATATTTATTTCCTACTAAAAATGCAAAAAGTGGCTTTCTGATTCAAGTAAAATATTAATAAAGGATTTCTAGATTTTCTTTAGAGATTATGTAATCTTCCTGGCCCTTCCTGTTACTGGATCAGCTCATGCTTCCTGCTGTAAGGATAAATGGTATCAAAAATGTTTCCCAATCTAGGAGATCTGTCTACTTTTCTACTCCTTTTAGTAGCTTTGGAAGCATATTTAATACATTTAAATCATCCTGAAAGAAGAGCTAGTTTGGAGCTTGTACACCTAGTTTTGGTTAATTTCTGAAAGAGCAGGAGATAGTAGTGTCTTAGTGATCTAGTTTTATTGCTAGCTACAATTCTGTTTCACAGGTCATGAAGAGGAGCAAATTCACTGTGTTGAAGCATTCAGCTGGTTTACTAGTTCTAACCTCCTTGCTGCAATTGTAAGTTCTGTCACTGAATTACAGGATGTTGTTAACACAACAGGTAAATTTAAAAGTATATTCTTGTTGTATAAGATAAAAAATAATCAGGGTGTTTACATGATTTCAGTTTTTGGGATTTTATCTAAACTATTCTGGATCAAATCTCTGGAGAGCTGTATTGGAACAGATTAATTTTCTTTAATTAGTGATAGGATATTTTGTAATTTCACTGTATAGAGTCACAGAACTGGTAGGCTGTAAAGTGCTTCTAAAAAGTGTATAAACATCTTTTCCTCCATTGCTGTGAGACCGAAAAAGAACCATCTACACCATGCCAGTGGATATTTGGAGAACTTGTTTTCAAAAGCTTCCAAGGAAATAATATTTACAAGCTTTGAAGTTATTTTGTTACACTGTTCTAATATTCAAAAAGTATTTTACTGAAGCTCAAACTATTTTTTTTTTCCATAGAGAAAATACATGTAATTTGTGCCTATTTCATCTGTGTTTTTCTTACATGTAGGCCCTAAACCCCACACATATTTAACCTGGGATATTGCTGCTGCTGACTGAAAAGAAATAATTATCTTTTGTGTTTTATATGATATTAATCTAGATTTTCCAGATCTGGAAAACAATTGAATTTGATGGATACTGTTTTCAGTAAACTGGTACCCGAAATCAGCCATTGAATCAAAAGTGTTTTGATTCAGTTTCAGGTGCTCTTTCCTGTTTTCAGTAACTTCAATTTACACCCTTAAAAAACAAAGTTTGAATTATGTTTCATAATATTTGCAGGGTTTTGCTGCAAGTGTTCCTCTGTATGTAATGTTGAGAAAGAACAGCAAATTGAAAAGGATAAACTTTACAGCAGCATCGATGTGCTGAAGTGACTAATTAGAATACCCTAGACCTCATGATATATTGCTGGTATTCAAGTATATGAGAGTTCTGGTGGACTCCTCTTGATATCTCTACACTCAACACAGTTTTCATTTTGAGAATTAGGAAGTGCCATGCTGAGAATATTATGGCCACACTTTGGTTATTTTTCATAGCTTATCTCTATTTTAAATAATTTTCACAGAACCTCAAGATCTGACTTTTCATGTATTACTTGGAATTCTGTTGCTCTTGAGATCAAAAGTCTCCCAAGAATCTGTGGTTCAAAAAAAGTAGTAATAAATAATTTAAAGTTTGACGTGAAATTCCAGAAGTGTTGAAGTGTTAAGGCTCTGAAGGAACATATTTGAAAGAAAGCTTGCATACTTAGGAAATTATTTTATGTTCTCTAAGTCATATTTCAAGTAGGATTCGAACCTTCAAAATGACTTTAATGATTTAGGAATTTATTTTAGATATAAATAGGAAATCTGAGGGGCATCTGCTCTCTTCAGATCTTGAAATAATGGCAGTTCCAGATTGGATATCACAGGAGGTGCTGCCTGGAGGTACAATATGGCATGGTTTGGTGTCTTAAATTAAAATTACTGTTAAAGATGGCTAGGTTCTCAGGAACCATGTGAGGCAGTTGAAAGAAACCAAATCAAGATTGCTCAGGTATCACTGAAACTTTTGGGCTTACGTGCTCTGGTGATTTAAGACACCTTTCTGGAGCTTTTAGCTTTTAATAAATAGGGTTTGGTTTGACATTTACAATCATTTCACACTGTTCATTAGTTTGGTTCTCATTCCAGCATGTCTTGGGATAATCTCTTAGATTCAGTTTGAATACAAGTTCACTGAATTGTCAGGGTATTTTGTTTTTTGTTTGTTTTGTTTTTTTTAAATGTTAGTTTTGTAGGTTTATTTGAACAGAATCTGTACTGCAATAAACCAGAGAAAGTAAAGGTCAAGCATTTTGAATAAAAACATCATCAACTGTTACATGCACAAAGAATTTGAAGCTTAGAATGAAAATTTTAGTCTTGTGTAGTACTACTAGTACATTCATCCTGCTGATTGTTCCGTTTCTCTAAAACAGTGTAAGCAAGAATTTTCTTCATCTGTTAGTGAAGATTTTCACTTTTCATTGTCTTTTTTTCACCATTTCTTTAATTGTAAGAATTAACCGCTCTTTGTGTAATTGTGTTAATAATTTCTTATACACATTACAAGGTACCTAATACTTTTACTGTAATTTCTTGATCCTTTGTGGGCAGGTACTTAAAATGTGCACACTTAAACCATATATTCACTTCCCAGTAATTATAGATACAGTTTTTTGTGGAATTGCATTATATTCTCACTTCATTTTTCAAAGCAGTCAGTGCCTTGCTCAACATATTAATGTGTATTTAATCAAAAAATGCTCTCCATAACACACCCCCCTCCCCCCCCCAAAAAAACCCAAAACCCCCAAAACCCAGAGGTGATGATTTGCCTTGTTATTCCCCAGCCCAATAAAATACCTTAAGTTGTAGATGCTAAGAATAATTTGGTTATGAACTGGAACAATCATTTAAAATAGTACAAAACAATTGCCTGAACAATTATTTGTTATTTATTTTTACTACAGTTGTACTAAAGGTTGTAGACATAGGGAAAGAGGCTGCCATCCTAGGTACTGCACGTATGGAGAAATACTGCCTTTTCTGGCAGGCAAACAGTCTTGTGTAAAATGAGATACCAGCTGTGTAAAATGAAATACTAGGAAAAATGAGAGAACAGTAGGTCATTGACAGTATTCTTGTTTTGGTATTTACCAAAAATTGTGATAATGGAGAGGGTTTTTTAGATGGTTTTGTGAAAGCAGTGCAGATGTTCTGGTTTTAATTTTTGGTTTAATTTTGTTCTTCTTAACTAAACATTAAAACTAGTGAATGCATCTTCACTTGAGAAAAGAGATTGTCTTTGAAACTGAAAGATGGGTAGGAGAGGATGATCTGTTAAAATATTGAAGATAGATCATCTTTTAAGTGATTACTAATAGGGAGTCAACACAAGTAAAATGTAGGAGCCTTAGCCAAAGTAGACAGAGTGGTGCAATGCAGTTTCTTCTGAATAAGAATTTTTTTTTAATTATTATTTCAAATAGTGTTTTGATAGATAAAGATAACAATGCTGGATAAGATTTTTAGATGAATTGAAAGAGTGCTATATTAAACATGAAGCTAGATTTACTACTAGCTGGGGCTGTGGAGAGCATGTACTCAAAAATGGTATTCCAGCCAAGCACTGGAGTCACTGACATAGTGGTATTTTGAAACTAAGCAGAAGACTGGCTCTGACGGAGTTTGTCTTGTGCCTTTTTATTTGCTTGCTTACAAATAAATTTTATCACATATATGTGTAATTGATTATTTATGATAAGAATCGTAATCTAAAGATATCAGTAATTAAGTTTCATTTGCTTTGAACCTGTGGTGTTATCCTCACAATGTGTAAAAAGAAATTCTGTAACTTAAAAAAGCTACAGTATTTTTTTTCTGTTTATACTTTTAAGTAAATGTTTTTATTCACTGCAGCAACAGGAGATCTGCTGCACTACTGAATGTAAATAAGCTCTTCCATGCTTGTCATCTTACACTGATAGTATCATAAGACAAGTAATGACAGATTAAGACCTGCCTAGCAGAGGGAAAACTAAATTACAAGACTTTTATTAAGGCATAAATAAACCTATTAACTGTTATCTGGAATACCAATTAGTGGAAGGAGCACTGACAATTTTATTTATCAACATTAAACACAATTATTAATTACAGACCTGACGAATCTAGGAGTAAGCAGGACATGTTGGGTGTGCTGGGGCCTTAAGTCCATTATATGAGAAGGATGATTACCAAAATCCTGTGGGGAAATAAGTAATTGTAGCTGTAAAATTTTAATTGCCTTGGAATAAGGTAAATTATATTCTCTTGTCTCAGAATATAAATAGTATGGCATTAAGGTACCAAGCCTCACTAATTTTGAACAGCAAATGATTTAGACATCTATAGAGGGGAGGGAAGAAGAGCCAGGAAACCCTCAGAAATTTGCATTGTAAATATTGCAATAAAGTAATTTACCATGTGCTGTCACATCTAACATCTTGACCTGGCTTGCATTTACTTGCATCCATCTTACATGTTTTATGAATTACAAAATTAGGACATCAGAGAAAGACTTGAGAAAGCATAGCATTGGAGGAGAATGTAAAAACAGCTAGAAAATTATTCTTTGACAGACAAATCCTATTCTAAGAATCTTATCCTACTCTTCTATCCAAAGATTGATAGTAGAGTATTCATTGCTAAATACCAAATTTGTCTGAAAGCCTTTCTGAGATTATTTCCTGTGAGCTCAGTCTTCTACTTCTTAATGGAAATTTCCTACTGAATATTTTAAAGATGCTATTTATTGTTGTTGCTTTTTACCACTGAAGAAAGCCCCAAAACTAATAAACTGTGATGTTTCTTTGTTGTTGTTGTTTCTTAAAGATCCAAAGCCCTGGCTTTCTGAGCATGTACTTGTAAATGCAGCCAGGAACTCCTTTTCAAAACTTATGGACAAACTGAATGTAATAATGGAGGCTGTTCCATTAGACAGCAGAAGGAGCATTACTTACCTGGAGAAAAACTCCTTGGTACAGAGATTGGCTCATGGACTTCATAAAATAAATACCCAGGCCCTGGAAGCTGGATTATGTGACAGACTACCTGTTATGGTATGCTTATTTATAGTGCTATTTCATGTAACAGTACTTTCACAGCATAGGTTCAGCATAAGTGTTATGGTGAAGCTGTCTTGATAGTACCATTAATTTTGTTTCAGATTCTTTATGAGTCCGTTACGCTGAAGTCAGCTCCATAGAGAATCAGAAATAGATTTGCAACACCCAAAAGCAGTAGGGTGTTAATAGATCTTTTGTTGTCAAAGAATTTAAGAAGAGATTTGGTATATCCAAGAAAAAGATTTTTTTAATTTTCTGTCAAAATTGTATTTGCTTTATAAGAACAAACTTGTAAAGTTTGATAGCCTTCTTCACTTTAGCCGAAGTGAAACAATAAAGTCTTTCTTACGTAATCTTTTACTGTGGGCTTTACATGAAAACAGGTACTTCCTTGAAAATGGAATTTCCGGTAACCCTCTACAGTACACAAAACACATTCACATTCTTGCACTGACGTGTCTTTTAGAGATGGACAGCAAAATGACAGCTTTATCTAATTTGCTTGGGTGCTCAATGTGATTGTTTTTATTGCTAAAATAGCACATTTTATAGCATATTATTTTGTTTCTGTTTACTAACAGAAAAGTATAGCATCTTTGCAAAAGCTGATATTTGAATTTACACAAAGACTTCATACAGCGGAGGTGGAACGCCGGTCACTGCGCCTAAAACTTGCTGAATTTAAATGGAATTTCAGTGAGATGAAAAAAGAAGCTGAAAAAGCCCAGAGCCTCCAAAAGCAATTAAATATGTTTAAGCAATCTGTAAGTATATTTAATTTAGATGATTTAATGAGATCGTCCTTTTTTACACATTTTTTTGATTTGTGTTCTTTTGAAAAACAAGTATAAAATCAATCTTCTATTAACAGAATTTTCCACAAAACTTGCTTTGTAAATGTTACTAAACTGTAAATCAGATCTATTTAGAAAAATCTCCTTTCCACAGGAGTTTCTCTTTGATTCATAAAAAGAGCTATTCTGTCTAAACTGTATGTTTGGTGTTCAGTAACCCAGGTTAAGTGGAAAGTTTTGGTGTGAGATATATATATATATATATATATATATATATATATATATACACACACCATAACATATATATATTTCACATACCCAGCTGGTATGAGGGTATCCAGTAAGTGTGTTCATGGGAAGTTAATAAAGCACAAATGTATTTTAAACTCTACTTGGATATTGCTGAATATTATGATAGACATTGTACTGTATCTTTGAGTGTGGGTTGTATCCCGAGCTAGTGTTAGTGTACAAATCTTAGTATGGTTGTTTCTCTGAAGGAGTAAGTTTATGGCAAAGAAAAGGAAGACCTCTACTGCATTCTGAGTAGCACGTACACACCCTTTGCTGTCGCTGATTTACTTACAACACTATGGGTTTACTAACCCATAAATACCACTGCCTGGAAGGAATGAGACAACAAAAAGGTTCCCTAACTACTAGAAGCCACAGTGTTGCAAGTAATGGACACAGTATTTAAAGGATTCATGCCGTTTTGTGGGTTATCAGTTTGTTCCCTGTCATGCTCATAAAACTGTGCCTTCAGCCCTTACTGGAGGAGAAGAAACTTGTCTTGTTTTAGCATGCTGGATGTTCATTGGGCACCTTTCCTCCTATGTGTGTTTTCCATAGGTTGCACTGACGATTGAGTTTACATTTGAGCTAGCTGAGAAAGTGAATGGATAAGGATTCTTACGCATGCTTTACAGATGCACAGTATAACTGAAACAGTTGTGTCCCACAATGAGCAGCCTTTTCTGTAGTTTTGCCCAGTGCTGATCCTGAGGCCTAGTTGGTAGACCTGTCAGTGTGTCCCAGTCAAAACATTTCTAAGCAGGGAATATTTTTTGGGTGATTTCACATACATTCTGCTTCCTGGCCAATACAATGGTGTTTGTTTTTTTTTGTTTTTTTTTTTACTCAAATGGACAAGGTTAGATCTAATCTCCTCAGTTTTGTTCATAATGGGTTTTATTCCCTTACAGTTCTGGGACAGTTAGATGAGGTTGTCATATTTTAGATTGTTGTTGAAATGTAGATGATTTAAAAATTATTCCTTCTTTCTGGAACGTTTTGGGGAGGGGAGGAAGAGCCCAGGAAGATATTTTGTTTGCAAAAAACAATGTGGGGCATTGATCTACATATTTCCTTCTAAATACTGATTCTTTACAAGCTGGGGTGCTAATTTGAATAGAATAATGAAAATGTACTGTTTACAGTACTCTGAATGCTTTGTTTGAAAGAATACAGTCAATAAAGTTGTCTGCTGTTTTATTATTCAGTGATCTATCTTTATGTTAAAAAAAACTATTCATCTTTAGCACTGTTTTGGTTTAGAATTTGATATGTTTTCAAATGAAACTCTGAAGTCAAGCATGTAAACAAGTGAATACAATTACACAATAAAACACAATTTATTTGCCTTATCAGAAGTTGATCACCCATGAGAGGTTTGAAAGTGCATGTGAAGAATTAAATAATGCATTACATCGGGAGCATCAGGCACAAGTGCTTTTGAACGAACAGGCGCAACAGCTACAGGAGTTAAATAATAAACTAGAATTGCACTCCAGTGAAGAAGCAGACAAAAACCAAGTCTTAAGTGAAACTGTAAAGGTAAGATAATCCTTCTGAGATAGGCACCAGAAATGTACGTTTTGGTGAATAAGCCGAACTTGCAGTTCTTGTGCAAATTAAATGATAGGAGTAATCACACACCTGCTACTCAGTCCATTAGAATTCTAGGGTCCTCCAAAACCACTTTCAAAATGAAACTTCAAGGTATAATTTATCTTTTCTGCTTTTGGGACTGGGTGACGTACACCAACATCTGTAATCTGTGGAGTGTCCGTGTTTTACATGCCATCTCATGTTACATAGGAGACAGCAGTTCTAGCTGTCATGAGGTGTTTCTAGATTATAGGAAAAATGAAGGAAGAAATACAGGAACAGTTTTATTTTTATTAGTGGTCGTAAGAATGTTTTAAAACTGGATTAGCTGTTTCCTGAATATCAATTTAGGATACAAAATGCACTTGTCAGTTCAGAAGATGCTAGTTGAGAGTAAAGAAAGATCCTTTTTCATCAGGATCTAGAATTTTCTCCAGATGCAACAAGTAATGAGGGAAAAGATACTGTTATCAGAATCTGTGGTAGCAAATCAGGGAGCAAAGAGAGAATAAGGGGTTTGAAACCAGGTGTATATCTAATATGGGAAGAGAAGAAACCTCATGATGGCAGGCCAGTAATGTGTAGTTACCTGAGGTTTGCAGCTTTTATTTATTTTGTATTTAGAGCAAGCCTTGCTGCTACTATCTGCTCTTCAGATCCACTACTGTCTTTCCCAGTATTCTGTGAATTGTTACTTGAGCAAAAGAGACTGCTTCGCTGGTATTTTGAGAAACAGGATAATTTGCGAATGTGAGGAAGATGAAAGGAGGAAGTGGAAAGAAATGTCAAGAAGTGGGAAGAGAACCAAAAAGATGCAAGCTACAAAACTAGTAGAAATATCAGAAACCATTGTTGAAAATGTAACTCTGAAAATGGATGACAGGGAGTGTCACTTGCCACGTAACGTTTGAAGTGATGTACAGTAGAGGAGGCTAAAGGATGTTGTTGTATTTATTAAGGATGATTTTCTTTAGCAGTATTACTTACTAAAACTGCTTTGCCTCAGTAAGGGTGAAAGACAATGACATTTCCAGTATACCTCTTGGGTTTGGTATTTTTTTTCTCCCTTCTGGGCCCCTGACTTTGGGTGTTTCATTTCAATATAAGAATAAACTTGTCTAGTGTTTAAGTTAGGTTGCTTGTTAATACTGTTGCTTTTTTGTTTTAGATACAACTGCAGTATATAAAAGCCATTAGGCTTGTGTCTGATTTCTTTGGGAAATACTTGATTCAAGATTTCTAAATGGTTATTAGGAGCCAAAAAAGAAGGAAGGAATAGAATACAGATGTTATTTGAAGTCTTCATTATGATCTACACTTTATACCTTAACATGTGGTATTTCAACGTGTTTTACTTTATATGTAAAACACGCTTTTACATTTTTTCAGAAATGAAGCAAAAAGTCAATTGTAGGTGTTTAAAATATTGGACGGAGTTTTAAACAAATCTATTTTATTGATTATTGGATTTGGATAATTGGAATTACATTTCGCAGCTTCTGTTTTTTTGTTAATTAAAGACAATTTTTTTTTTTTTGAGACAACAGTGATCCTAAAATGCATCCTAATTCCACAAAGTCTTAGCAGTTCTTTGCTACTGGAACAACTGGATTTAGTGTAGAATGCTTGATTATAGCTGATAGCTGTAATGTTACAATACGGTGTAATACTATAGTAGTTGTGAGAAGATGGAGACTAAGAAGGTTGACAAAGTAAGCTTTAGAGCTGAAATGTATTGCTTACAGTTCTACTGATTTGGTTTTCTAAATGTATGACTGTAATTGTCAGTTGTTTCCCTGGAAGAGTTTTGAACCAAATTTAAGTTCTAGACTTATTGCCATGTACTGTCCCTAAACTTCTCTTTAAATAGTAGAAGGTTTGTTGATGTCTCTTAATTCCTTCTTTTTGTTCACTACAAGAGTTAGAATGAACTTGCATATAAATAATATATTAGATACTTTTACTTTCTATCACTTGTTTTAAAACTTACACTTCAACAGTAAGGAAGTATTTTGGTATTCATATACTTTCATGAAGTAGGCTTATTAAAGGAGTAATACTTAATTTCTTAGCTTTATCAGTTCAGATTTTAATCCTGTATATTTTTATCTTCTTAATGACATGTACCATAGAGACATCCAAGGTAGCCAATTACATTCAAGGTCAGCTGGAACTAGGCAACTCTTTCACACCAGTTTTTTCTTAGATGAGGTAAATCAGTTGCTGCGATTCCCCTGTCTTTGAAGGGAAACTTCTACACAAATTAGAGACAGTCGTCTCTAACAGACATCATTTTTACTCCTTATACAAGCATGTCTTTAATTCCAGAAAAATACTTCTTTCTATTGGCAGGCGCCATGTGTATATTTCTTTCTTTTTAGGTATGTTAGTATCTATAATGAAAACTGTATTTTTAAGGAGCAAGTCACTGAAATTGTTCATGAATGGTTATTCCGACATTGCACTTGTTATCGTTTCAGGTGCAATGTATGTTGACTCATGTAACTTGCTTCTGATCTGCCTCAAAATAGACTTCGATACATGTTTTAGAAGTCAACACCCTAAATTTTGGCTTTATTTACTCTGCTGAGTTTAGTGAAGCTGCCACTGATTTACGAAAGCATAAAGGAAAAATTCTCATTCAGGTGCTTTGATAACAGTCATAGAAAAATGTTTTCTGATGGGAAAGTTTGGCATGTTTATTTTCACTAGCTATTTCACTTAAATCGTTATTGCATGTGCTGTGTTCAGCAAGTCTAGTGTCCTTTGCTGAACAGATGCAACCAGATTAGATTCTGATGGAGACTGGGATTGCTAGGTTTGTTTTGGAAGTGAATGTTTTACCTGAACAGGCTCTCTGTTCTTCTTGTGGATTTCAAGTGAGGGTGTTACACAATTGCTGCTTTATGTTGCTGTCCCTCTTTATCTTTTTATACCCACATATTTTCCCTGAAAAGTAATTTCAGTTAGTTATACAATTTCTTTTGTTAATACTATTGCACACACTTAGCAAGTCAGTTTCCTAGTTGGCTGTTTCTGCAAATAAAGCAGTATTGTAACTTACAGAAGGGTTAAAAGGCCTCACTTGTATGAGAAAGGCCAAGTGATTTTCATGGTTCTCAAATAGAACAGTAAAGATTACAGTCATTATAAATAGAAAAATAGGTTTAGGATTTGGTTTTGTTTGTGACTTTTTTTTGTATGTTGGTTTGTTTTTAACTTTATGACAGCTTCAGTTGTAAAGATTGTTAAGATTTGGCTGCACTAAACGATACTGTTGATTACCAAAAGCTTGTTTGTCATTTTGTCAAGAAATGGCATTTTTGTGTATTGCCTGGTTAAATTAAAGGCTGTTCTTTAAAGAAAGCAGTATAGCTGATTACCATTAGAGAATTTGTATTAATCAAGCTTAGCATGTTGAAGAGAGGCAGACTCCCCTCTGAGTAGGTTAGAATCTAAAATTCATAATTAATTAATTTACTGGTTTTTATTTTCCATACTGTATACGTTCTGAACACCTAAATAATGTACAAAGTAGGTAAGAAAGGATTAGCATTGCCATCTGCCCTATTCTTAGTCAAAACAGGTCATGTGTTTTTGTCTTACAGTAAAATAGGTGCATGGGTGGCTGCAGATCCAACCTCGCATGCGGGTGGACCAGCGCATGGGTAGCTCAAGATTGCTCAGGAGATGACAGTCCTGGTCAGACACTTCCTGATTGCCTAAGCACCCTTTTTTCCAACCAGATTTGCATATCCCACTTGCCCATGATCATCGTGCTTGTAGTAAGCGTGGTAAAAGCCCTTCCCAAATCTTGCGAAGCCAAGCCATCAAAATAGAAGTTAGAATCATACAATCATAGAATAGTTAGGGTTGGAAAGGACCTTAAGATCATCTAGTTCCAAGCCCCCTGCCATGGGCAGGGACTCCTCACACTAAACCATCTCGCCCAAGGCTTCGTCCAACCCTGCCTTGAACACTGCCAGGGATGGAGCATTCACAACCTCCCTGGGCAACCCATTCCAGTGCCTCACCACCCTAACAGGAAAGAATTTCCTCCTTATATCCAATCTAGACTTCCCCTGTTTAAGTTTGAACCCATTACCCCTTGTCCTGTCACTACAGTCCCTAACGAAGAGTCCCTCCCCAGCATTCCTATAGACCCCCTTCAGATACTGGAAGGCTGCTATGAGGTCTCCACGCAGCCTTCTCTTCTCCAGGCTGAACAGCCCCAACTTTCTCAGCCTGTCTTCATACGGGAGGTGCTCCAGTCCCCTGATCATCCTCGTGGCCCTCCTCTGGACTTGTTCCAACAGTTCCATGTCCTTTTTATGTTGAGGACACCAGAACTGCACACAATACTCCAGGTGAGGTCTCACAAGAGCAGAGTAGAGGGACAGGATCACCTCCTTCAACCTGCTGGTCACACTCCTTTTGATGCAGCCCAAGATACGGTTGGCTTTCTGGGCTGCAAGCGCACACTGAAGCCAGCTCACGTTCATTTTCTCATCGACCAGCACCCCCAAGTTCTTCTCCGCAGGGCTGCTCTGAATCTCTTCTCTGCCCAGCCTGTAGCTGTGCCTGGGATTCCTCCCACCCATGTGTAGGACCTTGCACTCGGCTTGGTTGAACTTCATGGGGTTGGCATCAGCCCACCTCACAAGCGTGCCAAGGTCCCTCTGGATGGCATTCCTTTCCTCCAGCATTATCAACCAAACCACACAGCTTGGTGTCATCGGCAAACTTGCTGAGGGCACACTCAATCCCACTGTCCATGTCACTGATGAAGATGTTGAACAAGGCCAGTGCCAACACTGGTCCTTGAGGGACGCCACTTGTTACAGATCTCCAGCTGGACATTGAGCCATTGACCACAACTCTTTGTGTGCAGCCATCCAGCCAGTTCTTTATCCACCAGCCAATTCTTTATCCACTGTTAAACAGTT